TCATTAAGAATGAGGTGAACATTTCTATACTATATTTAAAAAATCTTTATTTTCCCATTTTTAAGAGGAAAATGTCTAAATTCACATGAATTAAAGTTCTTTCTTAAGCTGGCACTATAGATTCCTGTTGAAAAGTTAAGTATGCATCTATTTCCATCTTATTTCTATCTTTTGAAGGTAGACAGGCTATTTTGAAAAGAAGAATTTCAATTAGAAGATAAATTGAAGAATTTCAGACATACAAATATGTGTATTAACTCAGTCTTCCTGACTTACAGCTTCTAGATGTTTTTCTATATCTTTTTCATACACATCACATTTGAGAACTAGTTAGTACAATCCTATAGGAGGAGTTCTGAAATTTTGTACAGGTATTTTATGGTGCTCACTATGGTTAGAGGGTGTTCAAGCACTTAGGTAGGGACCAGAGATATATTCCACGCATGAATTGAACATCCTGCAAAAAGAAGGGCTATCCTATATTCGGCTCAACTTTCTTTCTTTTTTCCTTTTTTTTAAGTTATTTTTTTAACGTTTATTTTATTTATTTATTTTATGTGGTGCTGAGGATCGAACCCAGCATCTCACACATGTTAGGCAAGCACTGTACCGCTCAGCCCCAGCCCCAGCCCCTTGGTTCAACTTTTGAATGTCCACTAGACATTCATGTTGGTTTAAAACAAAACAAAATAAAACAAAACAAACCCAAAACAGCTTTTTCAACTTATTTAAACCTACAACCTAATTCCATTTAATTTTAGTCACAAATGTAACTATCACAAGAATTTATAACTATTATATATGTCCGGGAAGTGCTATACTATGTTTTGTTCAAAAATTGATAAGAAAAAATTCAATTAAATTTTTTAAAATAAAATAAAAAACCCAGCAAACTTAACTAAGAACTGTTACCTTACTTCAGGAAATCACATCACCACCAGCAATATCACATTTAAGTCATTAAGAAACATCATATTTAAGTCACCAAAAAACACATTTGTAACTGTTATACATGAAGTTATTAAGTGCAAATATGTAACACAGTTTTGAGGATTTTCTTTTTCTTTTTCTTCTTTTTTTGCATTAAGCATTGAAACCAGGGACATTTTTACCCCTTAGCTACACTTCCAGTCCTTTTTTGCTGCTGCTGTTGTTGTTTTGAAGAGGGGTCTTGCTAAATTGTTGAGCCTGGCCTTGAACTTGCAATCTTTCTGCCTCAGCCTCCTGGGTAGCTGAGATTGCAGGTGTGCATCTCCATGCCCATCTTGGGATTATTTTTAACTAATTTAGACCCCAATACTTTGAAATGGATGGGAGGCCTATGAAATATAGAGATGTTCCTAAATTTGATTAAAAGGGTGTTTCTTAAATGTTAATAAGCTTAAAGAGAAAAGTAGAATACTTCAATATGCTATATTTTCTGTAACAACAGGGATTGATCTCTCTCATTTGTGCGTTTCTCTCTCTCTCTCTCTCTCTCTCTCTCTCTCTCACACACACACACACACACACACACACACACACACACACTAAAGTATTTGTAAAAAGAAATCCCAAAAGGATAAAAACAATAAAAATGGCAACCACTGGATGGAGGGTGACAACAGAATGGCAGGAATGGCAATGTAACTTCTCTGAACATCTCTTTTAAATAGTTTTAAACAAAATAAAATCTTTTTAAATTAAAAATAACTTTGAATAGTTTGCCTTTGGAACTACATGTTCAACAAACTGAGTAAAAATCATATGTAATTTCACTATACAGTATTGCAATCCTATATTTAAAACATTTTTGTAGTTTGATGAAATCTGTTGTGCAAATCACAAAAATTATTAAATTTCAGTTACTCCTAATTTTCAGTAACACCACTCACTCACCATAGGGCTAATGATCTCCCCATTACCTCTCATACTCAGTCTCTTCCTCCATCTATCCTCTATTCTGCTTTGCCTATTAAAGGATGTGATCTCCAAAGTTTCCTTATATCCAAGAGACTGAAGGTTGAATGTGCTGCGATTTCAAGGCACAGTTATAAAAATAAGTCCAGCTTAACTGCAAGAATATTATCCTTCCCATTTTTTCTATTTCAGTAATCTATAATCCCTCCCACCCACACGGTAGGAGGAAACATTTGCAGCTCCTATATCTCATGAAGGACTTGTATGAAGAGTATATAAAGAACTTTTACAGCTTAAAATAAAAAGACAACCCGATGAAAAAAAATGGGCAAAAAATCTGAACAAGATAGATAAAGAGCCAATAAGCACATGAAAGGAAGCTCAACATCATTACTCATTATGAAAATGCTAACCAAACATGTATCTACACATATACACACACATATTTTAAGTACAGGGACATTACATTTCATATTAATTTATTTGAGGACAACTAAAAGGATGTTAGAAAATATTTACTTTTGCAGGGAACAGTGGTGCACATAATTCTACGTCCTATAATTCCAGGACCCTAGAAGCTGAGGAAGGAGGATCTCAAGTTCAACAAGGCCACCTTGGGCAACTTAGTGAAACCTTGTCTCAAAATAAAAAATGAAAAAGGCTGGGAAATGTAGCTCAGTGGTAAAGTGCCCCTGGACTCAATCGTCAGTAACACATACAAATTTTTATTTTTTTTTTAAAGAGAGAGAGAGAGAGAGAATTTTTTAATATTTATTATTTAGTTTTCAATGGACACAACATCTTTATGTATTTGATGTGGTGCTGAGGATCGAACCCAGCGCCCTGTGCATGCCAGGCGAGCGTGTTACTGCTTGAGCCACATCCCCAGCCCCACACATACAAATTTTTTTAAATTTATTTTTACTTTTTAAGAGATATTGGGTCTGCTGGGTGTGGTGGCACACACCTGTAATCCCAGCAACTAGGGAGGATGAAGCAGGAGGTTTGCCAGTTCAAAGCCAGCCTCAGCAATTAGTGAGGCACTAAGCAACTCAAGTGAGATCCTGTCTCTAAATAATATACAAAAAAGGGATGAGGATGTGGTCAGTGGTTAAGTGCCCCTGAGTTCAATACCCCATATCAAAAAGAGAGAGAGAGAGAGAGAGAGAGAGATTGGGTCTGACTTTGCAGAAGAATTCAATTAATCAACAAATATATGAAAAAATGTTCAACATCTGTAGCAATTAGAGAAATGCAAATAAAAACTACACTGAGATTTCATCTCATCCCAGTCAGAATGGTAATTATCAAGAATACAAGCAACAGTAAATGTTGGCAAGGATGTGGTGGGACTGAAAACTGATGCAACCATTAAGGAAAGTGGTATGGAGATTCCTCAGTAAATTTGGAATGGAACCACCATTTGACCCAGCTATTCCACTCCTCAGTTTATACCCAAAGGACTTAAAATCAGCTTACTAGAGGGACACAGCCACATCAATGTTTATAGCAGCTCAATTCACAATAACTAAACTATGGAACCCACCTAGGTGTCCTCCAATAGATGAATGGATAAAGAAAATGTGGTATATGTACACCATGGAATATTACTCAACCTTAAAGAAGAATGAAATTATGGCATTTCTGGCAAATGGATGGAGCTGAAGAATTTCATGCTAAATGAAATAAGCCAATCCCCAAAACCAAAGGCCAAATGTTTTCTCCGATATCTGGATGCTAATTCACAATAAGCGGGGCGGAATACGCTACAGAAGAATATAGGAACTTTCGATTAACCAGAGAGGGATGAAGGGAGGGGAGTGGGTATGGGGGTAGGAAAGATAGTAGAATGAATCAGACATTATCACCCCCATGCGCATGTATGGTTACATGACCAGTGTGATGTAGAATACTCCATTTTTGTATGATGTGTCAAAATGCATTTTATTGTCATGTGTAACTAATTAGAACAAATAAAAAGAGATATTGGGTTTGACAAGACTGAGATCCACTGATCTAGCAGGAAGCACAAAGATGATTATCTGATCAGCATGTGACCTTTTAGAGTCAGAGTTTCGTTTCTATGTTTCACAAAATATTCAGTCAAGGACTCATGGAGAAAAACAGAAAATAAATTTATTGATGCATTGTAATGATACATAATAGAATTCACAATGCTATATCTGTAAATGCATGTAGTGTGATCAGTGTCCTTCCCCTTCTCTTTCCCTCCTCTCCACCCTCCCTCATCTTCTCTACTAATTTACCTTCTATTATTATCATTTTAATTAGTGCATTTGAATTCATATGTACATTAAAATTTTTAAATATTTCTCACTTTTACTATCTCCTTGTTCTTTATTGAGATGTTCTATTTCTGGGTGTACAGGTACACATATATTTGCACATGCATCTGTCATTATGTTATAAACTGATACATTTCACAATATCTGTATGCCATATAAATGAATCTTACCTTTTTAAATGCCTAAACATGTAAGCAATTTTTGTTGAAGACATTCAGGAACAAAGAACATGATCTTGCTGGGCTCTTATGGCTAAAAGCCATTGTAACACACATCAGTCTTACCAAGCTCTACAACCTAATGAAGCCTTATGAACACTTGGGTCTGTCAATGCTGGCCTCTCATGGTCTAAATGGTCCTAGACTGATAAGCTTTTTACAGTTCTCTGCTCTGCTTTTTATAGGGACTTCATTCTTTTTATGGGCCATTTGTTTATTTATTGCTGCTCTTAGTGGCCTCTGGAAATGCCTCTCATTTCATTCTGACTTCCTGCATTCACATAAACATTTGTTTTAATGACTATACTACTGGTGACATTTTTTTCCCATATTTTTTATTGGTGCAGTATAGTAATATATATCCTTCTGGTGACATTTTTCATATGTTAGATCCAAGCACCACAGATGTGGTCTTTTCAATTCCAAGTTTCAAAAGGAACCAGTGTAAGTAAATAATAAGTAAGTCTATGTTATTATTAAGGAGTTATCTCCAGGGCAAAGGTGAGCCAGGGGTGCAGAAACAGGAACTGGAAAACTCGGCAGAATCCCCAGAGGCCCTTTTCTTAACCTCACTCACCTCTGCAGCTCTTTGTCCATCTCTTCCATTTTCTCTTCTGTAGTCTCTTCTGGCTTCCTCATGAGCAGGATGGTTACTGTTCCAGTCACCTGCAGAGAACAAAGAGCTGCTTTAATCACAATGCCACTGCCAGAGAGAATCAGACTGGCTGGGTTTAAACCACAGACTGGTTGCCACCTGGTCTAATCAGCTATGGCCAGGAGGATAATGTTCATTGTTTTGTTACCAAAGTTTTATTACCAACTTTCTTCTCCCTGTTTACTGTTACTAGGGAGGTGTCAATCACATGCTAAAACATTTGCTCTTTTAAGATGTACAACTCAGGGATTTTTAGTCTTTTCACAGTTCAGCAACTATCACTGCTGTTTCATTTCCAGAACATTTTTCATCACTCCAAAGGAAACCTCCCACTCATTAGCAGTCATCTCCCATCCTTCCTTTCTCCTGGCCTCTGGCACCAATAATCTACTTTCAGTTTCTATAGATTGGCCTGTCCTGGATATTTCCTATAAATAGAATCTTACATCGTGTGGTGTTTCATCTGGCTTCTTTCAGCATGTTTTCAGGCCCACTCATGGTGTGGCATGGATCTGGACTTATTCATTTTTGTGGCTGAATAGTGCTCCAATGCATGGACAAGCCACATCTTAGCCATTTACTCATTAACAGAAAAAAGGCCATTTCCCCTTTGGGGTTATTAAGAATGTAACTGTGAACATTCAAGTCTTTATATGAATGTATCTTTAAGTCTCTGAGGTACAAACTTAGAAGTGGAATTGTTGGCTGCTATGGTAATGTTTAACATTTTTAAAAATTATCAAATTGACTTCCAAAGCAGCTGCACCACTGTGTATTCTCCAGGGATATGTAAGAGTTCCAGTTTCTCTACACTCTTGCTATCTTTTTTTTATTGTCCACCTGTTTATTTATTAGAGCCATGTTAGTGGGAATGAAATGATAGCTTGCTGTGATTTCGATTTTCACTTCCCTAATAACTAATAAGATCAAGCATCTTTTCAGGTCCTATTGACCATTTATATATCTTCTTTGGAGAAACATTTATTGAATTAACTTCTGCCCTTTTTTTAAACTGGGTAGTCATTTCATTGGTGAGTTGTAAGAATTCTTAGGGATCTAAGATATTAGACATTTATGAGACAGATTTATAAATATTTTTTCCCATTCTCTGGGTTGTCTTTTTCTGTCTTGACAGTTTCAATGAAGAACAAAAATTGTATTAAACTTTAACAAAATAGTACAATTTTTTCCTTTAGTTACTTGTGCTTTAGGCATCCTATCTTAAAAAAACAGATCTTTGTAATCTAAGGTCACAAAATCTGCATCTTGTGCAGATCTTCACTGAAGAGTTTAATAATTTGAACTCTCTTATTTAGGTCTTTAATCTGTTTTGAGTTAAATTGTTTATGTGGCAGTAAGTAGGAGTCCAACTTCATTATTTTGCATATGAATATTCAGTGGTCCAATGCCACTTTTTTTATATTTATTTTTTAGTTGTAGTTGGACACAGTACCTTTATTTTACTTATTTATTTTTATGTGGTGCTAAGGATGGAACCAAGGGCCTTGCACATGCTAGGTGAGCACTCTACCACTGAGCCACAACCCCAGCCCCCAAAGCCACTTGTTGAAGTCTATTCTTTCCTCATTGAACTATGTTGCACCTTTATTTTTTAGTACTTTTATTTAAAGACTATTTCTATTAGAACTAAATTCCCAGAGTTGTTCAACAACTGACTGCATGCAATAGAGCAAGCAATAAAAAAGCAACTAAATGAGATTAGGATATGTGCATTTGAAAAGCCATGTAATCAGTTACTTGTATTTTATATACATACCAAGAATATACTGGCTAGTATAATGGATATGCTGATTGGGTTATGCCAAACTTGCCAAAATGTATACATTAAATGTATGCAGTTTATTGTTCATCAATAATACCTCACTAGGGCTAGGGATGTGGCTCAAGTGGTTGTGCGCTCACCTGGCATGTGTGCAGCCCGGGTTCGATCCTCAGCACCACATACAAAACAAAGATGTTGTGTCCGCCAATAACTAAAAAATAAATATTAAAATTGAACCGCTCTTCCGATCTTCTCTCTCTTCTTAAAAAAAAAAAAGAAAAAAGAAAAAAAAGTTTAAAAAAAAATAAAAATAATACCTCACTAATGAAGTTTGGTTTTGGTGGTGGCATTTCCAGCACTGGGGATTGAAACAGGGCCCTGTGCATGCTAATCACTGAGCTATAATCTCAGGCCCTAAAGTGATTTTTTTTTTTAAAAGATAAGCCAAAAATGATGGTGCATACCTATAATTCCAGCAGCTAGGAAGGCAAGAGGATCACAAGTTCAAGGTCAGCCTCAGGCCCTAATCAACTTAGACCCTATCTCAAAATAAAAAATAAAAAAGGACTGGGAATATAGCAAGAGTGTAAATTCAATATTTTATTTCCCTAATCATTTTTCAGGATCAGCCTCCTGGGACTCGTGATGTAAGCAACTAGTGATTCTTGAAAACTTTTATATTTCTTTTAACTGATCTTGCTCCAAAATATAAATAAACCACTTGAATTCAGGATTTATAATGCTGGGGTTAACTCATTACTATGGGATAAATATTAATGAGGGCTGGACATGTGTTCCGATTCTTAAGGAAAACCATTTTTAAGTCATCTCTCAATGAGGACTTAGAAAATTGACTAATCCTTTTCTACATAGCACTCCCAAGTGCACCAGCCATTTTGGCAGAGACTTCAGCCATCTAGCACCTCCATATCCCTAGCATCAAGAATGCTGCAAGCACACAGCATGCACTTAAATCTATCACCATCTTTCCTGGGACCATTTTGGATTGAGACAGGTGGCATCTTTGTTCCTCCTTCTAATTTAACAATTCTATGTACAGGGGCAGATGCTATCTTTTGAAAATTTTCTTATTAATACACCTTTTTATATTTGGAAAACATGGTGGTATGGCTTAGGAATCTTACATCCAAATAATGAACAAAAATTTCTGTCAAAGATTTTGTACATAATCTACAAACTAAAAAGCAATTGGACTTGGGATGGAGCATCTGCCTAGCATGCACCAAATGTCAGATTCAATCTCCAGCACTGGGAGAGACCCAGGAAGTAAACACATGGGAACATTTAGGGGAAGCATGGCACACTGTTTGGAAGAAATAGTGCATCGATTTAAAAATGATCATTATAAGTCTACAGTGACATGGAAATTGGGAAGTATGAATTGGAAAATGAAAAGGACTTTGATTACAAACTAAGAAATTACCTGCTAGAATTTGCACTGCATGAAGACAGGATGTTTTGCTTGTTCTGTTCCTGGTCAGTACCTGGCACCTGGAAGATACTTATTAATATTTGTTGAAAGCATTAGTGAAACTAAATGTTAAACATTTCTGAAAACAAAGCTGCAGGTGTAACAGTGGTCCACTTTTGAATATAGCCCTCCTTGCTCTGAGTCTTATTTTTAAAGGGACCTGTGCTTTTCTCTCTTCTCCCCTCTTCCCCTCCCTAACATGAGGGAGACAGTGTTATCTTTTCTTCCCTTAGTTAATTGTCCTTGAACACACCCACCACAGGAAGGAGATATCTACCAGAGGATCTAAGAAGTGAATTTCAACACACCTTCAGGTTGCACCTGGGATCCCCTGTCAGGACACACCTGGAATGTGGCCTTTTTTGGGGGGAGGGGGTGGGGACAAGGATTGAACTCAGGGGCACTTGATCACTGAGCCACATCCTCAGCCCTATTTTGTGTGGTCTTTGAATAGCTTCTTTTAAAGCCCAGTTCTCCCTGATAGGCAGAAACATAGCCTCAGGGACAGGAGATCCCTGTGTTTCTCCTTTGCTAGCAAAGCAATAAATCTTTTTTCATTTTTCTCAAAACTATTGTAAGGGTCTGGCCAAACGTCAGAGGGAGAGACCACCCAAGAGTCTGACTCCATGCAATTGGCAAAAGGGGATATTTATTGAGGATCCATTCCAGTGCACTGGGACTCTGTGCTCACTCAAGGAGGGAGAGCAGCCCAGAGCCCAGAGCAAAGGTCAAGCAGAGCTTAAGTACACTTTTTGGAGAGGGCCGTGAGCTTTGCATACATCAGAACAAATCATCATGAGGCGCGGGAAATTGAACAACTCTGAGACGTGATTGGCAAATTCATTGGCGGGAACAGCTCGGGCAGGGGTGATTGGTCATTCCTAAGGGGGGGGTACACATTCAAACTGATTGGTTCAGGCCCTGTGACAAACTGCACAGGGCCCTAGGCTAAATGGCTAGTAGGGTGTTGTCTTAACTATCTCAGGAATCTGGGTGTAACAGAGGAACTCAATAATACCTAATCTTTTACATTTTAATTCAAGCCTTCCAGCTTAGAAACTTTACCCTTTCACTATATCCTCATTATTAAATTGACACTAGGAACCAGGACCCAGCTTTCCAGTGGTTACAAAGGGAACACACAAACATTCATGTGGAAAACTGTAGTCCCAAGGCAGAACTATGGTGCTTCCCCGCTTGCCCTCTATTCTCCAATTCTCCCTAAAACTGTTCTCCGTCCAAGGATGGCCACAGGAACACCTCTCCTGGCCCTGATACTTTCTCCTCCGACCTGCAAATAAGGAAGCATGTGACTTGGAGCAGGGATGTTGGTCTGGCTTCAATTCCAGCAGGAGTATTTTACTGGGCATGAGGTTCCAGCCTGGGGTTCTGAGGACACCCAATACTTAGTCTTTTCCCCCAGAGGCTTAGAAAGCAGCTCTGCCCCAGGTCCCCTATATAGCCTCCTGGTAGGTGCTGTTCTCTACGCCCCGGGTCCTCTATGGATGTCACTTTTACCTAGGTCACTAAGGGATCGGCCGTTGCCCCTGAAAGAAGAACCGATGCAAGACAAATCATGGGAGAAGTTCCACTTTATTTCAAAAGGCTATGTGCTTATATAAATCTAAGGATAGGAGCCAGGATTTAGGTAAACGACAGGGCGCTTGTTTATTGGTAAGTTCTTCCAGATGTCAGTTCTGGAGCCTACGAAATTAGTTCTTTTGGGCTGGGTTTTCTGCCAGCAGAATTGAAAATTGGCACCAGTGGAAACAAAGACACAGGAAGAGAAGCTGCCTGGGCACCATATTAGATAGGGCATATATGACCAACATTCCCTCCTCTTTTGTGTTGTTTTTGGAACAGGGACATCATTCGACTCTGGCTACATCCTGCTGAGTAGGGGTGGTGTGGGGCATTATCCCTGGATGGAGGAGGTCATTGGGGTTGGTCACCAGCCATTAGGTCTCGTAACAAGGGCTCCAGGAAGCATCGGGAGCGCCAATGTCATGTCAAAATAGCGCTTCCAGTATTTCCTAGTGTCCCTGTCATAAGGGGGCGTCACCAGCACCTGAAGAAGATCAGTGCAAACAAGAACAAGATGAAGATAAGAATTAAAACAAAGGTCAGTTTTTGGCGGGAGTTCCATGCTGGAGGATGATAGAGAAGAGGCCAAGGGCCATGAGGAGGCTTAAAAGGACATAAAGGCTCAAAAATCCCGGTTGACAGGCTAAGAGATCCTCTGCCATCCTGGATTTTTGTCTCCCGCTGTCCGATGTCCGTTGTTTTTCATTGTGCCTGGTAGTAAGCTTCAGCACTGAATGAGCTGTTCTCTTGAAGATATTCAGGGTTCATCGGTCATCAGAGGCTGGTAGTTCCTAAGCAGAAGCTGGTTGAAAGTTTGATTAGAAATATTCTGTAATTGGGTTTTAAGGAACTTCGTTATACAGGGCAAGAGAGAGCAAAAAAGGAGTATCCCAATAAGGGGCCCCAAGAAAGGTAGCAAGTATGTGGCGAGAGAAGATTGGAAGAACCCTGCTATGGGATTAGGAGAGGTGGTTTTGAGCAATTGGGTCAATAATTCCTGCAATTTAACAACATTCTTTTCTATTAGCCCAGACTCATTGATATAGAAGCAAAATTCCTCTCTAAGGAACAGGCATGTACCCCTTTTTCTGCAGTGAGGAGATCAATCGCCCACAGGTTCTGTAAAGCCACTTGTGCTAATGAGGAAACCTGCCGATGCAAGGACCCCAGAGATTCAGCAGTGGTATCGAGTGCTTCTTGCAGTTTTTGTTGAAGGTCATTGGATGCCCATAGAGCATGACCTACAGCTCCACCAGAGAGTCCGAGACTCGCCACTGAGGTTGTTAATGTGAGGCCTACCAGAACCGGTAGAAAGACTGCCCTACTGGTGCGAGAAGTGGGACCAATTGTCGGAATTCAAAGACAGCTGAGGAACTACAGTAACCAAGAAACAGGTGCCAGAGACATTGATTGTTGCGGAGGTGGGAGAGGCCTCTGTCAAATTAGTTATGAGAGCCGAATTAGTGATCATATTACCTTTGGTGGTAAGTAGACCTCGCTCCTTCCAGATTGGAGAATGGGATAATAGAATATGGAAGACATATTTTGAGTCAGTATAAAGGGTGAGGGATTTGCCCTGCACTAGAAGGCAGGCACGAGTGACTGCTACAAGTTCAGCCTGTTGGTTGATGGTTCCTGAAGGCAGAGCTTTGGCTTCTATAATCTCAGTGGCCGAAACAATGTCATATCCAGAGTAATGAGTGCCATTTTGCCTAAAGGAACTGCCGTCAGTGAACCAGATAAGGTCGGGATTGGTGAGTGGTCCCTCAGAAATGGAAGAATGACAGGGGAGGAAATCATCCAAGGTTTCTAAGCAATTGTGAACTAGAGCGTCAGGTGTGGAGGTCGTTGGGAGCAGGGAGGCAGGGTTCAGTGTAGAGCAAGAGAGGAATGTAATATTGGGGTTTTCCAGAAAGGAAGTGAGGAGTGACAGAACTCTGGATGGCGGAAGGGTTTGAAGGCCCTTATAAGCTAAAAGATCCTTCAAATGGTGTGGGGAATGGATAGTTAAAGGGGCCCCAAAAGTCAGCTTAGAGGCTTCTTTGTGTAAGATTTGTCCAGCAGCCAGAGCTCTTAAGCAAGGGGCCCACCCACGGATGGTAGGATCTAATTGCTTGGACAGATATGCCACAGGTGCGAATGTAGGCCCATAGGTTTGACCCAAGACCTCAAGTGCTTGTCCTCCTTTTTCATGGACATATAGATGAAATGGCCTTGAAAGATCTGGAAGGTGAAGGGCAGGTACCTTTAAGAGGAGTTGCTGAAGTTGCAGAAGTGGTAGCGGGGGTGGGGGGGTGGGGGAGGAGGCGAGAGGTTCATCAGGGGGTCCCTTTACTAGGTCATACAAGGGTTTGGCTAGAAGAGCATAATTTGGGATCCAGGCCCTAAAATATCCTGCTAGTCCTAGGAATGACAGTATTTCGGCTTTCGTATGAGGCACCGGAAGATTAGAAAGGAGTTGCCTCCTATCTAGCGTTATTTCCTTTTTTCCCAGTACAAGGTGAAAGCCAAGGTAGGTGACAGCAGACTGGGAAACCTGGGCCTTGTGGGAAGACACCCTATACCCCTAATCTGCCAGGAAATTGAGAAGCTGGGCGGTGTAGGATTGAGACTTTTCCCAAGAGGAACTACATAGAAGAAGATCATCGACATATTGAAGGAGGGTAGGGGTGGAAGGATGTGATGTCCTGGGCAAGAACCTGGCCAAAGAGATGGGGACTATCCCTGAATCCCTGAGGAAGGACGGTCCAGGTAAGCTGATGAGAATGGCGGGTGTGAGGATCAGTCCATGTAAAAGCAAAGATATTTTGAGACTCTAAAGACAAGGGAACAGAAAATAAGGCATCCTTTAAATCTAGGACTGAGAAGTAGGTAGTAGTAGCAGGGATCTGAGAGAGAAGGGTGTAGGGGTTGGATACTAGCAGATGAATGGGGACCACGGAGGAGTTGACGAGGCGAAGGTCTTGAACCAATCCATAGGACCCATTGGGTTTCTTAACTACCAGAATGGGGGTGTTGAAAGAAGAGTACATAGGCCTGAGATACCCCTTCCGTAATAAGTCCTGGATGATGGGTTCTAACCTGAGGAGGGCTGTGGTTGTAAGTGGATATTGTGGTAGATTAATGTATCTTGAAGGGTCCCATAAAACAATACGAAAAGGACTGCATTTAGCCGCAGAGGGCGTAGTTATGTCCCAAACCTCGAGGTTAACTGGTTTAGATAGTCGTGGGAGAGTGCATGATGGACGTGTATCTGTCCCTAGGATCATCATGAGGAAATGAGAGGCGGGGGAGGTGAGGGTGATATGTGAATGGTGACCTTCAATAGTGAGAGTATGTCCCTTCCCAGAAGGGGAATGGGGCAATGGGTCATAAAGAGAAAGGAGTGTGTTAAGGACAAAAGGGATCCCTGCATATAGCATGATAAGGGGGGAATTTTTCGAGGGAAAATCTGTTTACCTCCTACCCCGACAAAAGGAGTTTTCAAAGGCGTGGTAGGGCTCCAATACTCCCTCAAGACCTCAAAAGTGGCACCAGTATCCAAGAGGAAGGTAATGGAGCGTCCATCCACCAGGAAGGTGACCCTGGGCTCTTGCTTCTTGATGGTTATAGTAGGGAGGAAAGGCCCAGGGCTCTGTCAATCCTCCTCTGCCAAGCCTAGGAGAGGCTGGGGTTGCAGGGCGGCTGACCAGCCTCCCCTCCGGGTTGTTGGACAGTCTGACTCCCAATATCCACTTTGGTGGCATTTTGGGCAGGGGGTGGAAGGTGTCCTTGGCGAAGGACAAACCTTGGCCCAATGTCCCTCCTTACCACATTTGAAGCAAGCTCCAGGGGGTGTCTTATTAGGACAGTGTGGTGATGGCCTTCCCTGAATGACCTGGGCCAACATTTGGAATTTGGCATTTTCAGTCTTCTGCCTGTGGCATTCACTTTTGTCTTCCCTACCATGGAAAAGCTTGAAAGCGACCGTGAGGATTTTGGTCTGAAGGGTAGCAGGGCCCTGTTCAAGCTTTTTAAGCTTGGCCTTAATGTCAGGGTAGCTTTGGGCCAGAAAATATGTCATTAAGACATGGCGACCGTCAGGGGTTTCTGGGTCGAGGTTTGTGTACTGTTGGAGGGCCTTAGTTAGTCTATCCAAGAATTCTGAAGGTGTTTCTTCCTTCTTCTGAATGACCTCCTGCACCTTTTGAAAATTAACGGCCTTGCAGGTGCCCTTCTTCAGGCCAGCCAAGAGGCAGGATGCAAAAAGTTCATGAGAATGCAAACCTCCAGGGGTGTTGTAATCCCATAGAGGATCTTGCTCTGGGACAGCGTGTGGGCCCGAAGGGTGGTTGGGATTGGTTCTATGATTTTCATTGGCCTAGCCTTTCCTCAGGGAGAAGTATATAGGCCAGGAGCATGTAAATGTCATGATGAGTGAGGCTATATGCTTGCAGAACCCATTGAAATTCCTGAATGTAAGTGGTGGGGTCAGTGGTGAATGAGCCTAGCTTCCTTTCTAGCTGCATAAGATCGGACATGGAGAAGGGCACATGTACTCGGATAACACCCTGGGGCCAGCAACCTCACAAAGGGATGCTATTGTCATGGGGGTGGGAAGGGGTCCCTTGGACCTGGTAACAGGAGGGCTGAAAGAGTCGGTCGGCAACGGACAGGAAGAAGGGGAAGGGGAAGAGGACGAAATGGAAGGCTGAGGATCTGTGGGATCAGACGAAGGAGGAGGAGGGGATGTCGGGAGAGGAGGAGCAGGTGGGGCTGCGGGATAAAGTGGGGGTTCGTCTGCCGGGTCAAATGAGGAAGAGTCCACTAGGTCAGGAGTGGAAGTAGGGGAAGGGAGGGGTTTGCGAGCAAGAACTTGAGAGGGAGAGCAGGATAGGCAGAGAGCAGGGTGCTATGCGAGAAGGCTAAAACCTTCAACGTAGGGAATCGCCTTCCATTTTTTCAGATGCTGGCAGTAGTTAAAAAGGTTCCAGAGAAGCTTTGGATCTAATGAGCCTTCTAGAGGCCAATGATTGCCATTATCCAGAGGATATGTAGGCCAATCTTGGGTACAGAATTTGATCAGGAGTTTGGGCTTGATGTCTGGTGTGAGAGAGAGTGTGGCCAGATTTTTTATTAGACATTTGAGGGGTGAGGTTTCAGGTATGGACGAGGAGGTGCTCATGTTCACAGAGAGAGAGAGAGAGAGAGAGAGAGAGAAAGAGAGAGAGACAGAGAGAGAGAGAGAGAGAGAGACAGAGACAGAGATAGTGATAGACCCAACCTGATCTTTTCTTAAAATTGGGAGCCATCTTGCCACAAAGCCATGAAAAGATAATTTCGGCTTTACTATAAATTACTGCAAATTCTGAACCTGCTTGGAATGCCTGCCCGTGCCTTGAACTCACCCATGCCTGGCTCTCTGACCAGGTAACAGCCCTCTCTGAAACTTAGTGACACCTCATAAATATTGGTCTTCCCTGGCCAGACAACGACCTTCTCTGAGGCTCTAATGGTCCTCATAAATTCTGATGTTGGGGCCAGCAAAAAATGTAAACTACCATTAGTGTGATGCTTGTCAGAGTTCTGTTATCTGTAACCCCCCCTTTGTGTAACTTTCTGGGCTATAAAGCTGGGCTGCAGGAAAGCTACAAGGCTATCTTGTTCCCGCCCTTTTGGGAGGGAGAGGCAGCCCAGCAGGTCGAAATAATAAGCTTGCTTTAATTTGATTTTAATTGGAGTCAGTGGTCTTTTCTTGTGTCCTGGTCTAACAATAGCGAAAGAGAGAGACTACTGGCAGGAAAAACGATCAGCAAGGGCTAAAAGGGCGTCCCCTTCTAAGACCCTGGGGATCGTGGAGACTCTAGGAAGAGTTGGAAAGGAAAGGCAGCGAGGGGCAACTCTCGAGGGGCAAAAGCCCGAGGCCACGAAGAACCTAGAACTAGGATTTCCTGGTTACAGAAGGAGAAGGAAGAAACAGAGAGGTCTCTCACCTGAACCCAGAAGCCTCACACCCCAAAAGAAAACGGGTTGTCAGAGAGTTCACTGCGGCTCTAAAGGCCTTAGTGGGGTGGGTTCTATCCCCTCTATCTGGGCGTCAGGAGTGTGCCAGACGATCACGGTCCCGGTTCTTGCGATAGCCCGTGGAGGGTGACAAGCCAGGAGGGGAACTTACCTAAGCCGGATCAGTGGTGGGTGTAAAGAGCCAGCGCCTGAAAAGGTGAACGAGATGTCTCCTGGAGCCGGAGATGGGGCTCTGTTAAAACGAGCTCACCCGTCTCCAGGGTTTCGGGAGACAAATGACCAGAGAAGTTCCACTTCGTTTCAAAAGGCTATGTGCTTATATAACTCTAAGGATAAGAGGCAGGACTTAGATAAACGGGAGCTTGTTTATTGGTAAGTTCTTTCAGATGTCAGTTCCAAAGCATACGAAATTAGTTCTTATTGGGCTGGGTTTTCCGCCAGCGGGATTGAAAATTGGCGCCGAGAAACGGAGACACAGGAAGAGAAGCTGCCTGGGCGCCATGTCAGATAGGGCATATATGATCAACAGCCCCTACCCGACCTCAGCCCCCTTGTGGGGTGACTCCTTCCAGAAAGAGGACCCTCTTCTTGCTGGCCCCATCCTCCAGGGGAGGGACTCTCATTCCATCGAGCCCTTCCCATGGGTCACTACCCACGCCCGCCACGCTGGAGGCTGTCACCGCGCCCCTGCACCCGCGCCTGCGGTCACTGGTCCCTGAGAGGGAGGTAACCCTTTCCTTCATCCCCGAGGGGTGGTGACGCCTCCCCGGGCCCGCGCCGCCTCCTTCCGGGCCCTCCCCCGCGACGGACGGCGGGGAGGCGGCGGCAGGGCCTCCTGGGCGGGACTCCGGCGCGGGGACCAGGCGGCGGGGCGAGCGGCGGCGGCCGGGGCCATGGCGGGCTGCTGCACGGTGCTGGCGGCCTTCCTGTTCGAGTACGACACGCCGCGCATCGTGCTCATCCGCAGCCGTAAAGTGGGGCTCATGAACCGCGGTGTGCAGCTGCTCATCCTGGCCTACGTCATCGGGTGAGCGAGCGGTGGGCCGGCGGGGCCGGGGCTGGGGGTCCCCGACGGCCGGCAGCGGGCACCCGCCCCCTTCGGCCCGCGCGGTGCACCTGCCCACCCTGGCCACTTGCGCCGTGCACACACCCGGGCTCGGGCCACCGAGACGGGCTCTGTCCGGGCCTCGGCGACGGGAAGCTGCTTTGATTCAGGGTGCTGAAGGGAAAGCCTGGCTAGACCGTCACCTTGCACGTTTACCTTTCAACTTGCTCCTTGATGGCCCTGGGCTGTGGGAACTTTGCCCTAAACGTCTCAGTTTCCTCTCTTCACTTGCCATTCTGATGACCCACTGACAAAACCAAGGCTTGGGGTTTCCATTTGGTTCCTTCTGAGTCTGTGGCTTCCTCTCCTTTCCTTTGATCATTATGCGGTAACCCAAGATAGTGGAGAGGTCGCACTTCCCAAAAGTGTTTAAAGGACAGTGACTGTTTTACAGCATTGTTTGGGGCGGAGGGTGTGGATACCTGCTTTAGTATAGTCATTCCCCCTTGAGCCGCTTGTGTTTATATATGCCCTGCTAAATGTTTGATTTAATTGAATGCACCTGTTATAGTGTAATTCAACCCAGGGAAGGAGGTAGCAATTACCTTGCCAGCTGGGCTCTCTTTCAAGGTGGAGCATTATGGTGTCTACAGATGCTGGGTTAACAGATACATCTGCTAGATCACTTTCCTAAAAGGCCTAGAGTAGTGGTCCCCAAACTGCTCATTGGAACCATTTGGGAATCTATAGAAAATATGATTGATGGCTCTCATCCCAGACCTTCAGAATCGGCTATAGAGTATGGCCAACTCCCCAGCTGATTCTTATGTTCAGCAAAGTTGGTGGTCGGGTGACCTGGTGTTTTGCAAATTTACCTTATTAGGAAAGATCATCTGAGGAATTTTTGAAAAGTAACAGATTCCCCCACCTTGGGATGAAGTTTGGAATCTGTTTACCCTGCCCAGGGGTATTCACATAGTCTGGTAGTTTTGGCTTCCAGCATCAATCAGCCAGCCCTGCAACAGCTGGTACTGAGTGTTCATGAGTATGTCTTGCTGGGGTTCAGTTCCGTGGTGAAGTGCATGCTTAGCATTCATGAGGCCCTGGGTTCCATCCCCAGTACACAAAAAGTTAAAAAATCCAGGTAGAGACTCAACATAAGAACCTCCTGGGCTATACCTGGGTTTGGACTCATTAAGTCTTAGGGATGAAATAGTTCCAACATGACCAGCTTCTCCCCCACAATGGTTGTGATGCACTCCTGCAGAATTTGGGATCAGAAGTTCTAGGCAGCTTTTAGGTCTTAACTTTTATTCTCATGAGAAGATTGGTTCACTTCTACCTTTGGGTACTTGTAAAATTCTTACACCTTAAAGAAGCCACTAGTCACAGATGGCTATTGAACACTTATCCATTTCTACTCCAAATTGAGATGCACTGGAATTGTAAAAATATACACTGGATTTTGAAGAGTACAAGAAAAAGTAAAATATCACATTGATACTTTTTGAAATTGATGACTGTTAAAATATTTTAGACATATTGGGCTACCTAAGAATTATTTTTTTCTGTGTCTTTCTACTTTTTAATGTGGCCTCTAGAAATTTTTAAATCACACATAGGATTCACCTCATGTTTCTAGTGCAATTCTAATTGCTTCTTGTCCTTTTGGCTAAGATCAAGTGTAGTGCAGTTCTGTGGGGTTCTTAGAAAGTGTTGTCTGCCTTGATTATGAGGGTTTTTAAGCAGCAGTGCCTTGCTTTTAGACATTTTGCTATAATCAGAGCCAACTCTGTTCTGAGGAATGGGCTTTAAAAAAAAAAAAAAAACAACTTTTAAACTTCCTGATCTAGTTAATCTTGGTGAAACTGTGGTCTCTTCTCCCAAACAACTATTCCTCATAGAGACTGAACCCACAGTCCCCAGTCATCTAATTCAGTTATCAGTCACATGATGAGGAAATAATCACATGATAATGACTGGTATGAAACAATCTGTCTCTGATTTCGCAACTCCCTGTACTTGATAGTAAAATAATGATGACCTTCCTATTGAATGGGAGCTTTCCAGCAGCTGAATTTCTAAAAGCCCCAAAGAAGAGGACTTGTCAAGGGCAAAGCCCATCTCTAGGATGGGCAGTGAACTTGGAGATTCCTCAGATCAAATAAACCCATAAATAACCCAGTGTCAAACAGCTGATGAGTGGCAGAGTCAGGATTTGAACTTGAACCAGAAGCCCTTAAGCCTCTTACCCATGGTGCTCCCTCTAGAAAAGAGAATCCTACCTTGACCTTTCAAGGTACTTTTTTTTCCCACAATAACTTTATTTTATTTGTTTATTTTTATGTGGTGCTGAGGATGGAACCCAGTGTCTCACACATGTGAGGCAGGTGCTCCACCACTAAGCCCCAGCCCCTCAAGGCACTTTTTATAGTAGTTTGTTTCTTTCTCCCAAGAATTCAGATCACATGTATGATTCTGTTTTCTGAAATGAGAAGGTTACTGTTATTTTGAGTGATTAAAAATGCGAAAGCATTTGTGGGTTGCGGTTAGGACACCAAAACACACTTTGGAAATAGAGTCTCAGTTCACAGCTCAGCTTGGCTCTATTGCTCACTAGGCATAACTTTGGCCAAGTGGCTAAACCACTCTGGGACTCAGTTCTTCCCATCTATCATATGGAAATGGTCATAGAGCTTCACCACTGTTATAGAATTAAATGATTTAGTGTATGTCACATGCATAGAATAATGTTTGTTTCAACCCACCACTGGAACATTATAGCAACCAAAACTCCTCCCCACCAGAGCTACTAAACATATGCCACAGACTATTATTACTATTATTTCTAGAATTGAGAAGTGTTAGGATCCACTTCCCTTCCTAGAAGTACTAGATGCTAAGATTTCAGAATTCACTAGTTTGGGTTACTTGTGGGTTCGTTTGATCAGAGCAGTCTCCAGATGGACTGCCCATCCTAGAGATGGGCTTTTCCCCTGAGGAGTCCTCTTCTTCAGGACTTCTAGAAATTCATCTGCAGTAAAGCTCCCATTCAATTCTAGTTTGACACATGGATGCTCAGGGCAGGATGGCCACATGTGTGTCTCCATTCCCTCCTCTGTAAATTGGAGATGATAATAATGATACTTGCCTCATGAAGTGGTCAGGATTAAATGAGTTCATACATATAAAATGACTTTAAAGCTGTGCCTGATCCTAAAATCACTCAAATGGAAACTATTCCTATCACAATGTGTCATCTCTTGGTCATTCCCTTAGGCCCCAGTGTATTGAAAATGCTCAAATATCCAATAAAGACAGTATTCATTGAGCTTTTCCTCTGTGATACTGGTGCTTTTCCTACACCATCTCATTTATTTCTCACAAAATAAATAAAGGGGCCACTCTTTCCCTCTTGCACAAATGGAGGTGGAGCCTCCAAAGGTTAAGCAGCTTTTGCAAAGTCGCAATTAGTAAACATGGTGGTACTTTCAGCCTCTGGCTGTCAGAGGCTCCCTGGCGTCCATTCAGATTCTCTGGATCCTAATGGCCACTTAAGAGGCCTGTGTTATTTTATAGGTGGGTGTTCGTGTGGGAAAAGGGTTACCAGGAAATGGACTCCGTGGTCAGCTCAGTGACTACCAAGGCCAAAGGCGTGGCTGTGACCAATACTTCTACACTTGGGTTCCGGATCTGGGATGTGGCTGATTATGTGATTCCAGCTCAGGTAGGTCTCCTACTCTGATCTGTCTGATACTGAAGCCTCCAGGTGTCACTTTCTCTGTACTAACTTATCATGCCTGCTTAATGATCGGTACCCAGGGTTCTACCATCTCTGATACCCAGACTGGTTGTTTTAGCCCCAGAAAGCAGCACAGCCATGTCTCTTTTGGGCTTCAGGTCTAAGGGGTATCATTCAGTCAGCTGTGGCTCTCCAACTCTAAAGTGTGGCTGGCCTCAGATGTCCTTCCATGTGGACATCTTGGTCTGTCTCAAGCTCTAAAAGGTAAGATAGCGAACGTCTTAAATTCTGGGAGAAGTTCACGGGGAAAACAGCACTTTCCCACATTTTGCATTTGCTTTATTATCTTACATCTACAAGGTCAATCGTCTCTGTCAGTGTCTACCACAGTTAGAGGACAAACCGCAGACCAAAAGGAGACAGCACAGGATTCCATCAGGAACAAAGTCAGGGGAGAAACTGATGGTGACATTCTAGTCTCCAGCCCATTAAGCTGCAAGTTAATATTTTGGTCTTTTTTTTTTTTTTTTTTTTTTGAAGGCGTTGGGGTTTGAACCCAGGGCCTCAGTAGGCAAACACTTCACCACTGAGCCACATCCCCAGCCTCAAGCTGCAAGTTAAATATTGACTCTTTAGCTATGTGCCACATGGCCAAACCCTACCATACCCCTCCAGATGGCTGATGTGTGCAGTGCCCACAGTGGCCAAATTCAGATGAGTTGCCAACTCTCTTTTTTTAATTGGTACACAATTAAAAAAAAGGGAAGCAGAGGCTTCAGCAGCTCTCCAATGTGTCCATTCCCCTGCCTTCTTAAGAGAATGGTCTGGTGGGGTCCAGAGAGAGGCCGGAGATGATGAGCTTTAAAGGTGCAATGGAACGGGGTGGTCCTGGGGACACCTGTCCATGCTCCCCGTGGGGGCACGGCCTCATCCTGGCAAGCTGTGGGACTGTCCTGCCCAGTCTGCTTTAGCCAAGGAAGGAATGAACCCTGCTTCTGCCCTGAGTGGAAAGGACCACCCAGCAGCTCTGCCACCTGTCACTCATGGGAGCTGGGGCTGTGGGCTCTCTGCTCTGCTCTCACTGTGTCCTCGGGCTTCTCCGTTGAGGGAACCCAACCACTGCATCTACTTGGCTCATCTTCAGACTGAAGTTTCCCTAAATTTGAAATAGATCAGAGGAAACAAAAAGTAGACCACACTGAATTGTTGGGAGTCCAGCTCAGAGAGGCTCAGGAGCAGCCTTCCCTCAACCTGTGAGAGGAGTGTGTTTCTCTTCGACACTTTGGGGATATGACCGGGTATCAGGAGAGACTCCCACCTCGAGCCTCCTCTTGTGGCCATTTCCTTGTCTCTGCAGGAAGATACCTACCATTTCTAAAGCTTCTACCACCTTGACATATTGGGGGGTGTCCATAGTGACCTTGGTCCCTGAGATGGCTCCCAGAGCTGACTGCTTTTTTCAGGAGTATGAAATGAAATGCTGGACGCTGCTGGCATCTCTTTAAAAAAATGCCCGTGCCCAGTGGAGGGGAGGGGTCCGACCAGAACCTTCTGGGGTCTTTATCTTTAATTCCTTATATTAGGTCCTTGTATTAGGAGATCAAAATTAGCAATTTTTGTTTGTGGCAGTTCTGGGGATAGACCCAGGACTTGCACACACAAGGCAAGTGCTGGACCTCTGAGCCACAGCCCAGCCAGTACTTAGCAACCCTTCAGTATCAGCCCCAGCAAGTGGCTTTCCAGAAACTGGACCAGTGCTTTGGCACCTCCAGATCTACAAGGAGAAAACAGAACCTTGTCAAGGACAGAAATGTCAGAAATGCCCCTGAACTTCTTCTCTAGAATGTTTTATTTCTTTTCAATTATAGTTATAAAAGAAAATAAGTCAGGAGGATCTCAAATTCAAAGCCAGCCTCAGCAATGGCAAGGTGCTAAACAACTCAGTGAGACTCTGTCTCTAAATAAAATACAAAAATGGGCTGGGGATGTGGCTCAGTGGTTGAGTGCCCCTGTACCCTCCCTGCTAAAAAAAGAAGTCAAGTTTGAGGCCTTGGGGGCTTTGTGTTTTAATACCTCAGAAGTCATTGGTTGACAGAGCAAGTTTTGAACTACTATTGGCTCTTTTCCCTTAATAAGTCAAAATCTGTTGAGGATCTGTTTCAGATTGTAGATTCTTTAAAAATTGAGGTAAAATTCACATAACAGGAAAATTAAACTTTTTTTGCAGGGGTGGGAGGGCTTGGAAATTGAACTCAGGGGCATCCTTTTTACTTTTTTTTGAGATAGGGTCTTGCTAATTTGCCGAGGCTGACCTCAAACCTTGCAATCTTCCTTCCTGAGCCTCCTAAGTCACTGGGATTACAAGCATACACTGTGCCCATTAGAGTCCCTGTTAGGTTATAAACTCTCATGGGAGACCATAATATTCGCTTTTTAAAATCATCCTATTAAGGAGATACCTAGCTTTTTTAACGTCCCAGCCCGACTCCTCTGAGGGTGATCTGACAAGGCTCCCTCCCTCTCGCCCTCTCTGCAGGAGGAAAACTCCCTCTTCATCATGACCAACATGATCATCACCATGAACCAGACCCAGAGCATCTGTCCCGAGGTAGGTGGCTCCTTGGGAAAGCCCTGGGCCTCACACCCCACTCTCCACAACCCTGAGTGAGTGGCTGGACCAGATGGAAATTGTTTTCACTCCATCTCCTTTGTTTAGATTCCTGATAAGACCACTGTGTGCAAATCAGATACAGACTGCACTTCTGGGTCTGCCGACATCCACAGCAATGGTAGGAATGGTTAGTAGTGACCCCTCAGCAGATGCTTAGCCCCAGGAAGGCAGTTCCTGACAAGATCACTGTCTCCACACAGCATCTCTGAAAGAGAAGTCTCAGGGATAAATAAATCCTCCCTATGCCCAGCGGACTGGGGGTGGGGCTCAGATGTAGAGGTGAGCTTAGCATGGCTGAGGCCCTGGATTCAATCCCCAGCACCAGAAAAAGATTCCCCGCACCATTCTCCAATGCCACGCAACCCCAGGTGAGCCTGATGTCAGAGGAGGCCCAGGGACCCTGTGTCATTTGAGTCCCAGAAGCCAGCCCAGATCTTGCTGCATTCTGTGACTTGGAATCACTTTGGTCCTGAGATTGCAAAGCAGAGATGTGGCCAGCACTAAGGCAACCACCTTCCAGTTCCAATTTCTGGATACCCTAAGTCCCAGAATTAGAATTGTTCCAGACTGGCTACATAGGATGTTATGAGGGGCTTACTCCCTACCTCACAAAGGGAGGAAATAGCCCCCTGTAGACCTGGCTCCCCATCCCCCCCACAGGAGTCAAGACTGGAAGATGCGTGCCGTTCAATGGGTCAGTGAAGACCTGTGAGGTGGCAGCCTGGTGCCCAGTGGAGGATGACACACATGTGCCAAAGTGAGTTCTGCCTGAGAGCGCCCCCAACCCTGGTTCTACACCTTGAGGGAGGCGGCAGGGAAGGTTTGGGGGCCATCTGTGTGCTCTTGGTGTCTGGGACAGTGCTCCTTAACCACAGAGCATCAACCTTCAGTGGTGAGGTGAGCCCCAAGTGGTCACTTAGGATAAGGGTGCAGTTTGACTTATTGTATGTTAGGACTCCGTTAGTTGCAAATAACTGAGAAGAAACAGATCTCAGTGCTTTATCATGGGTGTACACACACACACACACACACAGATCAGGGGTACTTCATCATTCAGCTAGCCTAAAAGACCTAGCAGGGCTCAATCTGAGGCTCAGAGACTGTCTATCCCACATCCGGCCTCTGTCTCTTTCCATGTCAGGTTCATTTGTTGGACCCCTGGCATAATCCCAGGGGGACCTCCTTCCTAGCTGTGCAGAGTCTAGACCTGTCCATAATCACGTTCTGGGCTACATCTCTTGATCTGTCACCGTGGCTGGGGGACAGTTTGTTTCTCAGCATGCCTGGGTCACATGTCCACCTCTAGAGTTCGGGCTAGAGTCAGCCTCACCCAAATGACCCAGGCTGAGAGTAGGGGAAGTGTGACTTCCAAAGGAAATCTGAGGTTCCATTACCGGAAAAGGGGGGACAGGAAAATAATAAAAATCTGCCAAAGGGTATTCTATAAACCAGAACAGGTTGGGGGTTGCCCTAGGATAACATTCTTCCCAGTTGCAATTTGCTGTAGTTTGAAAGGGTGGAGTCTAAGACCTTCCCTTGAGAATTCCTGTTGCCTGGGGCTTTGTCATCCAGAGATCAGACTGAAAGCCAGGGGAGCAGGGAGCTTCTGCAGCTCATCCTGGGCGTAGAAGAAAACATGGAGACTGCTGATGTGAACTAAGGAGTGCAACACTGAAAGGAAGGGAATCCTAGCTTTTCAGAGTCAGAAAGATCTCCCAGAGCTGTGCTCTCCAGCAGGGGAGCCACTGGCCAAGTGTGGCTGCTGAGTACTTGAAATGTGGCTGGGTCTTCTGTTGGTGTGAAGTACACTGTAGGGTCTGAAATTAATTATGAAAAAAAAAAAGAATATAATATGTACTTAATATGTTGGTTACATGCAGAAGTAATATTGTGGATATTTTGGGTTTTTATATAAAATTAATGTTGCTATTTTTATTTTTAAATGTGGGTACTAGGAAACTTTTAATTATAATGTGGCTTGTAGTGTGCCTCACAGTACATTTATATTGGATAAGGGTTTAGTAGATCTAAGTCTGTGTGAGACGATTTTTAAAAGCAAACCGATGCAAGAAATTGCATTGAGTCACATGATGAGAAAGATATTCCTATTTCCATTTTGGGTGGAGTGTCTTTATTACCTGTCACTTGCTTATTTCCATTTCTCACACTGAACAAGCCCCAGATTAGGAATGTTGCATAAAATATTAACTACATGTTTTAGTAACATTGTTTTTATTTCATTATATTTATTTAAACAATGACGTCTGATCTGATGTGAGTGATTTTTGTATGTGTGCAGTGCTGGGGATTGAGCCCAGGACCTCATGCATGGTAGGCAAGTGTTCTACATCCCCAGCCCTTTTTAAAAGATTTTTTAAAAAATCTTGAGGCATGGTCTTGCTGAATTGCCCAAACTGGCTTCAAACTTGTGATCCTCCTGCCTAACCCTCCCAAGAAGCTGGGATTACAGGCACATGCCACCACACCCAGCACAAGTGATATTTTTATGGTCATGAGGGAAAGTTTCATTTCAAAGTAAATATCAATTAAAAAAATGAGTTAGTCTTAAAGGTGGAATCAACCCAAATGCCTATCAGCAGAAGAATGCATAAACAAATTTTGGTGTGTGCATAGCATAAAATATTACTCAGCCTCATAAAAAGGAATGAAGCACTGACACCCCCTTACAACCTGGGTGAATCTTTAAAACATCACTGAGTAAAAGAAAACAGACACAGAGGCCGTATGTTATTTGATTCTATTCATATGAAATGCCCAGAATAGACAGATCTGTAGAGATAGCAGAGTGGGGTCTCAAGGCACTAACTCCCTGGTGGATGTACAGGTCCTCTAGGGCGATGCAAATGTTCTGGAACTAGATAGAGGTGACGGTTTCCCAACATTGCAGATGCACTAAATGCCACTGAATTGATTGATTCTTAAATAGTGAATTTTATGTCGTGAATTCCACATCGACTTTGTTTTAAAAGGTGAGTTGATCTTAAGTATTGCAGACAGGGTGCAAAGATGTAGCTGCAAAAGCTTTGAAATGGAAAATGGCAGATGTTTGCAAAGCTCTGCAGAATCCCTGCCTCTTGAGGGAATGGGGACATGGAGCCCGAGGGATGTGTATTGCTCAAGGCCTTTCCTTGGCAGTGGGGACTCAGCAGCCTTGTCAATGGCCTTACTCCTGTCCCTCCACTGAAAAGACCACTGATGTCACTTGTAGCTCTGCAATTTACACCTGGCTCAGGAAACTGCCCCAGCCCCTCCACAGAAGACTTAGCCCTGCGGTGCCAGATTCTCCCATAGACAAATCCACCAAAGAAACAGTCCCCTTGGGACAGGTTCACCTGGTAGTCAGCTGGGAGTCCACATGGCACCATTGGGAGGAGGCAGGTGTGCCGGCGGGGTGGGGGGGGCAGTACTTGTGTACTTTTCAGGTGAGGCCAGGACGCAGCCTGCAGGTGAACTCACCTGTTCTGTGACCTGTAAAGTCCCATCTTTCTAGCATCCCTTCCCCAGAGTAAGCCTGAAACTGGCAGCGGCCAGGAATGATTTCCAGGGAGGCTGTGAGACAGCAGCCCGCTTCTCAGTCCCTCAGGTTCTCCATCGGCCTCCTAGGGGAAGGATCCAGAAGGCCAGCTTAGACTCAGCTCTAGACCTAGTGCTTCTGCAGAAGAGAACAGAAAATGCCGGAAATGCTGCACCTCACTTTTGCTTTGACAAAGTGACACTGTAAATCATGTTTATGTGTTAGAAATATTACATAGCTATCTAAATGCATTTTATTTTTTACTTCTAGTAACAGTATGTTGCCTTCTTTTTTTTTTTTCAGGCCTGCTTTTTTAAAGGCTGCAGAAAACTTCACTCTTTTGGTTAAGAACAACATCTGGTATCCCAAATTTAATTTCAGCAAGTAAGTGGTGGCTGCTGTGTGAGTTCACCAGTACCTTGGAGAAACTTCTGGCCCTTCTCCGGGGTTTTTCTCACAATGGATTTCTGCTTCCTTCTGGCTCTAGGAGGAATATTCTTCCCAACACCACCACCACCTACCTCAAATCATGCATTTATGATGCCAAAACAGATCCCTTCTGCCCCATATTCCGTCTTGGCAAAATCGTGGAGAACGCAGGGCACAGCTTCCAGGATATGGCCGTCGAGGTAGGTGCAGGCCCTGGCTTCTCACAGTCCTGGACATTTCTCGTATCCAAGCCAGCTCTGATGAGAGCCTGGGTGTGTCTGCTTCTGTCCCACAGGGAGGCATCATGGGCATCCAGATCAACTGGGACTGCAACCTGGACAGAGCTGCCTCCCTCTGCCTGCCCAGGTATTCTTTCCGCCGCCTCGATACCCGGGACCTTGACCACAATGTGTCTCCTGGCTACAATTTCAGGTGAGCATGAGCTTGGACCGTCACTCCCTATGAAGGGGGGCTGATGGATGAGTTATTCCTCCGTGGGGGCATCTGTGCCTCCAAAGACTAGCACACGGGCAGCACCCCAGGGCAGGCTGTGCAGGAAGGCATGTGCTTGGGAGAGCGCTCAAAGCAGGGTCTTGCTCTCAGGTTGAGCCTGCCCCAGGCTCTCGAGGGTGCAGTGGGTGCAGGTTTTAGGCCCAAGAAAGGCCTTTGCTTGTATCTCCTAATGAAAATGCTGTCACAGTAGTTTCTCTGGGCTGGAATAACAGAGCTGACTGCCTTGACAGAGATGGGTTCTGTAGGTTCTGGAGGCTAGAAGTCAAAAATGAAGGTGTCTACAGGGCCAGCCCCCCACTCCCAAGACTCTAGGCAGGATCCTCCCTATCTCTTCCAGCCTCTGATGGCTCTCAGCAATCCTTGGCCTACAAATGTGTTGCTTCTGTCTGTCTGCACGTGGCCTTCTTCCCTCCATGCATGTTTCTGTGTGTCTTCTTGTGAGAACAGTAGTCATATCAAATTTAGGGCCCACCTGAATCAAGTACGACCTGATCTTTACTAATTGCACCTCCAAGACCCTATTTCCAGTTAGTTATTTACAGTCACATCCACAGGTTCCGGGTGACATGAATTTTCAGGGAGGCACTATTTAATCCAGTGCAGCTAGTCATCTGATAAGAGGGCCAGGAGCGTATTTTCCATTTCCTTGAGGCAACAAAATCTGTAGCTGTGTACTTTTTCTTATGCTCCTTGAGGAATTTTCCCCAAACACACTTGCTCCTAAAACCAGGCCCTGCAAGGAACACTGGAATGGATCACAAGTTTTTTTGTTGCTCGTCTCCCTCTAGTGGTGGCATGTGGTATCAAATGCGCATCGTATTGTCAGAATCTCTGCAGATCCATAGTCCCTTTGAACCACCCCACTCCCTGGTGGATGGCAGGGAAGGTATTTGAACTCTTCCCTAGGAGTTGCTCTCTCTACCAGTACACAGTTCTTGTAGAAACCACAAGCTTGGATCAGAACCCTAGAGCAGAGAGCAGCTGGTGGAGCCTCAGCCAGTACCAGCCCTGCTGAGTCTACCAGGCCTGGACCTCAACATGGAAGCCGTAAACCAGCCAGATCCCAGGCCTCAGGTTTAGGCCTCGGCTCCTGGAGGAATGGGACCGCTCTCAGTGAGTCTCCCCTCCACCATTCCTTGCTGGTTTTTTGTTTCATTTGTATCTTTGAATTTTATGGCTGAATTAAGACTACTCTGTGAGCAATCACCCATTAAAGTCTAGAATCCAGTAATTTTTATATATTTACACATATGTTCAACCAGTCAATTTTAGAACATCATCTTCAACTCAGAAACCCCGATCCCTCTAGCTGTCACCCCTCCCACCCCGAAGACATAGGCAGCTACTTTGTGGCTTTGCACATCTGGACTCCTCTGTTAATGGACTCATACACCATGTGTCTTTTCATGACTGGCTTCTTTCATTTTGCTTCATGTCTTCAAGGTTCATTCATGTTGTAGCAGATAATAAAGCTTCACCTCTTGTTATGGCCAAATAATATTCCATTGTGTGGATGGACCACATGTCATTTCCCTCTTCATCTATTGATGGATCAGTGGTTCTTAGTTCTTTTTACATTTTAAAGGTGATGCTAAGTTTTGTGACCACACAATGCAGTCTTGGAGATTGCTGCTGGCTGGCCACATTCTCAGTTAGTGGCCAAGTCCCCTTGAGAGAGGTAGGGAGGTCAGAGAGGTAGGAGGTAGGAAGGACACTGAGAGCAAGGACATTCAGGCTTATGCTACCTTGTGGAAGGAGAGGGGTCTACCTGTGCCTCCAGCACCCTCCCTCTGTAAGAGACTCACTGCATCCTGCTCTAACATCCCTCTCCCGGAACCCTGTGCCCTTTCCCTCTGACCTGCCCTATGCCCACAGGTTTGCCAAGTACTACCGGGACCTCACTGGCGTGGAGCAGCGCACGCTCATTAAGGCATATGGTATCCGCTTCGACATCATCGTGTTTGGGAAGGTAGGCCTGCCACCAACTCCCTGTTGGCTGTTGTGGGGACCCCGCAAGGACAGGGGTGTCTTTCTACCTTGCATGTGCTCTCCCCTACCCCTGTCAGAGCTTTTCCTCTTCTTCTCCTGTCACATGCAGGCTGGGAAGTTTGACATCATTCCTACCATGATCAACATCGGCTCTGGCCTGGCGCTGCTGGGCGTGGTGAGTGGTTGGGCCTCCCCAGCAGTCAGCAGCACTTTCTAGTCTAGAGCCTCCAGGCTTCTTTCCTTGCCCACCCCCACCGTCCCTCCTCCCAGACCACTCCCCTCCGGGCTGGGCCGTACTTCACCCCCAGAGATGAAGGTGCTTTTCCTTCCTGTAAGAGATTCCAGACTTCAGGGGGAAGTGCACACACAAAGCAGCAGGAGCTAAAGCACCGGGCTCATCCTCTCAACCCTTGCTATGTGCAGGCGACGGTGCTGTGTGACGTCATAGTCCTGTATTGCATGAAGAAGAGATACTACTATCGGGAGAAGAAGTACAAATACGTGGAAGATTACGAGCAGGTGGGCACCTCCTGTGCTCCCTGCAGGCAGGGAGCCTCTTGTCCTGGGGAGGGAAGCCCGGGTCCTGGGCCACCTGGTATGGCCCTTGGACAGAGGCTGGTGCTGCTCTGGCAGCTGACAACTCATCGCCTCAGGCTGGCAGTCAGATGCCAGCCTCGGCGCCTGCTCCGTCTCTGGACCACCTGTTCTAGTATTTACTTCAGACTCTTCAGAACCTACTTTGGTTTCGATTAGTGATCTCTTGAGTTAGTCATGATAATGGGACCACTTACATCCTCACGGTAAATTCACCTTGCTTAACAAGAAGGGTTAGGTACCCCATTCTAGAACCAGCTGGAGTCCTCTTGTGAAGGGCTGTCCAGAAGCCCTCAGGAAAAGCTCCCTATTCCTGCCTGCCTCAGATGGTCCAGGGGCAGTGACTGCTGGGTGGACACTGACCTCCTTATCCCTCTTTGCAGGGTCTTGGTGGTGAGACAGGCCAATGATGCCTACCCGACACCTGGGCTCCCCAAAGCCCTCATCAAGCACAATGAGAAGGAGGGAGAAATGGCTGCTATGTCACCCCAGAGAACATTCCAGATTCTGATTCACTCTCCATAAGTACTCAGGGTTGCCTGGTAGCTCCTACATTTTGTGTGTAGGGGTTCATTTGTCCCCTGGGCACAGTGGATTACTGACCAGTATGTTGTTGGCTGGGCTGAGTTGCTGGGGCCTTCTGCAGGCCCTGGGGCCAGCTTTCCCCAGAAGCTGCAGTCTCCAGCCCTCGCAGACGGGGCCAATCCTGTGAGCCAAGACAACACCATTCAGGCACTTTGTAAGGAAAAGAAAGCCTCTAGGCTCGTGCTCCCTAGACTTTAACAGGCCCAGGCTGCTGCTCCTCTCCCCCAAACCAGGAACATTGTTCTTGCAACCATGGTACAGAGTTGGCTCTCTTCCTCTGAGAACAGCTGTGAAGAGATGGTTGAAGATCAAACATTAAAACAAGTGGTTTTTCTTACTCCTCGCATGCTGTCTCCTAGCATAGGCTAGAGCTCTCCTTCCTTCTCTTACTTCAGGGAAGTTAATATGGGATGAGGGGAAGGTGCCCACATATTTGCCTGATGACAAGAACAATTACTGTCTGTTCTGCCCACATGCAACCTTGCAGCGAAGGCCACTTCCTGGAACGGCCAGTCCTAACGGCAGCCTCACAGTCAGCTTGCCTCTCCAAAGAACTCTCCTGGCAACGGCTGCACACACGTCACAGTCTGCGATAAGCCCCTGCCACCAAACAACTTCTGTTTGGAAACATCTTGCCTGCACTTCTCCTTTTTAGTCTTGCTCCCCTGGGCCTCAGCCCCCCAAGGCCATGGCACACATAGCCTGGGTTGCAGTGACCCCTGAATAAACCCCTCTGCTGGTATTTCAGGTTGACAATTTCAAGTAAACCCATTTGTTGTCCAGCTCTGTCCTCAGGAAAGGTCTCTTGAAACAATCGTCTCTGCAACTCAGGCATTTCCCTTGCCTGGCTTTTCTCTTAAAGCCTAATTAAGCGTTTTGATCTTCATTAAGTTGTAAGTTTGTTTTTTTTTCCTAGTGGCATCTCACCTGTGCTGGCATTTTTTACATAAGATGGTAGTAATACACTGTAGGTGGCATAATTTTAGGGAACATGGAAGTGGCTCATCCCCTTCTGTTTTCTTCCCAAGCCTCCAACCCAAAGCAGGATCACCTGCACCTCTCGGTGCATGTGTGACATGGCAACGGAGCTACTTCCAGCTGTAACTTCAACTTCGTGCTTGATTTTGCATCAGGGGTTCAGGATTCCTCCAAGGGGGGCAGCCTGCCTCTCCCCTTCCCCATGAATCACTTCATTTCCAACTACTCTGGGGAATACTTTAGAAGTACTCTGCTTCAGTGGGAAAAAATGATCTACCTGGACTTTTCTTTGGGGGTGGGGGTTGCTAAATACTTTTCAACAATGTCGTGGTTCAGGCCGGGTGTGGTGGCACCCGCCTGTAATCCCAGCAACTCAGGTGGCAAATTTGAGGCCAGTCTCAGAAACTTAGTGAGACCCTGTCCAAAATAAAGGGCTGGGGTTGTGACTCAGTGGCACAGCATGGTTGGGTCACTCTACAGTACCAAGGGGGTAAGGAGCTGATTCATGCAGCCTTTTTTAAAATGCTCATTTGGCACTGGGGATATGGCTCAGTGGTAAAGCATTCCTGAGTCAAACAATCCCCAGTACCGTCCCCCCCCCCAAAAAGTGAGCTAGAATCTTTAGGAATCGTGATATGATCTAAATGTGTCCCAAAAAACTCATGTGTTGGAAACTGAGTCCCCAGTACAACAGGACTGGGAGGGAAACTGGGTCATAGTCCTCATAAATGGAACTAGGTGCCATATAGAAAGGGCTTGATGAGGAGCTCATCCCCTTGCAGCCCTTCCATCTTCTGGGCACATATGGAAGCAGGGAGCAGCCCTCACCAGACCCCAAACCAGCCAGTGCCTTAATCTTAGACTTCCAAAAAACTAATTTCCGTTCTTTGCAAATTACCCCACCTCAGGCATTCTGTTATAGTAGCACAAACAGACAAGAAAAATGGTTTGTCTATTACCCTGCAGCTGAGGAGTGATGGCAGTGGTCTTCTGTAATGGGGGGCTGCATTTGACCTTCTCTTTTCTGAAATGGAATGCAAAGGCCAGTTGGGGTGAGGGATGGGTGTTGGGCAGCACTACTGATTTCACTCACCAGTCTCATCTTGCTTCTGACCATGTCCCTTCTCACTGGCACACCCTGGTGCCATCAGGAGTCTTCTGTGCCCCTGGAGCTCTGCTCCATGATGCACCTGTGTGCACCCCTCCTCCCTTCCCTCAGATTTGCAGTGGGGTCTTGGGATGGCAGCCCCTTGCTCCTGAGTCTTGAAGGCCTGCATTTCAATGCTTTTCTGCAGCAGTGGAATGGGGATTTGTTAGACTTTGCCTGCTGTCCCCTAGTAACAGAAAAATGAAATTTAAAGCCAAGAGAGCACCTCCAAGGACTAGAGCCACACTTGAAATGCAGAGACTCCTCTGCCTTTGGCCTGGAGGAGCATCCAGATGCCATCAGAACCAGCAAGCACCAAGACTCAGGACGCCAAAGACCAGGGGCTTTGCCGACAAATTCCAGCCCTTAGACAACCAACTTAACTTTTCTGAGCCTCAGCTCACAGGTGATGATCCTCATTATGAGTTTAATACCCACCTCCTGGGGTGAAGTGTAACAGAGCAGGCCTGGACCGCAGGACACATTCCACATGAGGGAACTACTCACCTGTCTGGTCTCCGCCAGAATCTTGCCCTTACCTGTCCACTAGAGCAGGGCTTCTCAAACTTCAACCTGCAGGTGGGTCACCTGTGAGCGTGTTTAAGCGGGGCCTGAGTGTGTGCATTCTGCCCTGCTCTCAAGTGCTGTTGACACAGCTGGTCCTGGAGTCACACTGAGCAGCAGCATATGAGGACATGCCCTAAATCAGTGGTCTGCTGGCTACATTAGCATTGACTGGGACATGTAACCTTCTGTTCACCTAGGGAAGGAGAGCAGACACAAGGACAGATGGACAAAATAAACAACCAACCCAAAACAACAACAAAAAAAACCCCTGAGGCCCAAACTTTGCACCATTTTGCTGTCTCTTTATTTCAAGTTTACAGAGAAGCTTAATCATTTGTGGAAAAACACCAAAGGCTTATCTTTCTCTTAAGTTCATGTACTTGTGATAAATACACAGTATTTAACTTTGTACACCTGATAAAAGGAAAATGCATAGTAGAAAGGATCAGGAATAAAACAGAAGCATCGGGCATCGAAGATATCACAGAATAGAAAAGTCAAAAGTCCCATGAGACTCGGCCCATGAAGCTGAAGAAAAGATGGGACCCGTGACTATGAGACCTTCCCTAGCACCTTGGAAGCAAGTGGGGGTCCTGGTTCCACCATCAGCAACGTGAAGCTGCCCTAGGGAAGATGGGTGAGGGCCACAGCCTGGCCCAGCCTCCCCCAGAGCAGGGGTTCTCCTTGTTCCAGAAAGGCTTTGTGGACAGGAGCTCTACCCCATGGAAAGGCCAGAGTAATGGCCTCTGCAGGCCCAAATGCCAACAGGGGGCTCGATAAGGTTTCTGGGGACCACTGGCCACCTCTGGAATGGACAGGGGAGGTGGAAACAGGCAGAGGAAAAGAAAAGCATGTGGGAGGCTTGTGCTTTCTTCCAGGCCACAGGTGCAGGCCGCAGGGCTCACACCACACTGGTCCCAGAGGAGCCAGCAACTCGAGGAAGCACAGGCATCCTTTTTGCCCACTGGAAAAAGCTGCTCCTGACAGCTTCTCCCTTTTCCTGGCCAAGCTGGCTTTTAAAAACTCCACGTTTGTGCTCCAAGAGTGGTGGCCCTAGTGACAGCCATGTCTACTTATGCTTTCCACGAGGAGAGGTTCCTTTCCACAGCTTTCTTTGGTGTTTATTTTAAAAACTAAATAAATAAAAGTTATGGTGTGGACCTCCCCCACCCCACCCACCCAAATGGCTAGGTGCTGCCTGGCCACTGGGCTTCCCCATAAGACATCTGGGATGACGAGTTCATGGTGGGGAGAAATGGCATTGCCCGATGCGGCGTGTAAACACGAGAGGAGTTCTGCAGAGCTCTGCATGCAGCCTGCCCTCCTCGGCCACTCAGCCAGGCAGAGTCCGTGCACGCGGGCTGGGGCTAAGCCTAAGGACTGGCGACTTTAACCACTGCAAGGTGCTTATTGCAAACGCACCAGACCCCATCTGCTACCAGAAGAGGTGGAGCTACTGGGTCATTTCCCCTAAATTTAAAGCAGTGGGGAGACAAGCGCAAATACTAGGTTACAAAGACAAAGCAAGCAGGCAAGACGACCCTCTTTACACTGGAGTCTGTGCTCTTTGGAACCAGCATTCCCTAATTCTAACTGCTTCTACAACAGCACGCGAAACCTGGCTAAACTACAATCAAGAGCTTAAGAAAATCTATGGAAGCCAAGGAATGCCCAGGCTTTGTGAATGGCTGGGAGGGGACACAGGCTTTGCTTCTGTCTCTGTGCAAAGTCCTTGAACCAAGGCTTATCAAACTGAAACCACAAAAAAATCAGTCTTCCAAGGCCCAGCACTGAATTTACCTCCCAGGACCAGATCTCAAAGTCCTCCCAGCACAAAGTCCTTCCAGTTTCCCACCCCCTTGAACTTCACACTCACCAGTGTGTGGCTCTGGGCAGAGTCACATGCAAACCTCAGCCAAACATCTCAGCATTGGGAAGTTTCTTTTGGTTGGAAGTCAAAAGATCAAATTTTCTGGCTACAAAAGGGAACATCCCATGCTAGCTAGCACCCAGTTCCTCCATATCCCAAGGAATACTCTGAGTTTCAACAACCTTTCTCTAAAAGGGTGATCCAAGGTCACTGTGTGGACCCTACCAAAGCTTTGACGCTAAGGATGTTCATTTGTGTCTCAGCCAAGTGAGAGTATTTCCCTCAGAGCCCTCCACAAAGCAGGTAAAGTGTTTGGCTGACTGCAGCGAGTGAGCGGTTAAGATGCAAACTGAACCTCAGCAGGCTCAGGAATACACAGGTCATAAACAAGCTGAGCTACTAATATACAGGCATTAGATTTCATTGGCTCTCAGATCACACGGGGAAGCTGTGGCGTGTCCTGGAAGCTCTAAATAACCTCTGAACTTCTCTAGAGTTCAGTCTAGTTAGACAATTGAAAATATTTTTGTGTTGAATCATAAGCCATGTAATGTACATGGAAGTGTAGGATTTCACCCTGAAGTTTTTGTAACTGAACAAAGAGATTTACTGGAGCCCAGCCAACCTTTCCAGAAACCCACTTTGAGTGGCAGGTGTAAGGGCCCGCATTCTGTCCTCCAGGCAAACCTCTCCCCCGCCCCGGCTGCTGAAGGCTCCTAGGGTTGGCAAATCCCCTTCAAAAAGCAATTAAACTTCAAGCCCTTTCAGTTTTCCTGACTACAGTTCTACCCATAAAAAAATTTTAAAGTCCTTCTTGCAAATAAGTTGCATTGATGCTCTCTGCAGCTACTGAGGGCTAGCCCTGCTCATCCACGGTTCTGGAAGGTGCCTCGATTCGGGGTTTGCAGAAGGAGTCTCGAAGCCTTCCTTCCACTCCTCAAATGCAGCATCTGCTCCTTGGCCCCAGTCCTGCTGGAGTCTCCTGCTCATTCCTCTGCGCTGTTCAAACCCCGCACACATTCATTCCCTTGGTATATCTGACATGGTTTTGAAGGATTTTTGGCATAAAAACATTTTTAAAAAGCAATTATCCCAAAACGCACGTGGGTTTGGTCTGCAATTCCTCACACCCGCCGGTCCGGCCAGCCAGCGGCCAAGGTCGACGTCACGGAGTCAAGTCTTTTTTTTTTTTTTTTTTTTGTCCCCTTTAAAATAATAAAGGAAAAACACATAACCAGAGGTGACGGTCAAGGCTCTACACACGTGCTCGGTTTCCGTAGGACATGCTGCTATGGAAACGCAGGGTGCAGCAGCCCGTGCAGGGCAACATGGCCAGGCATGCGAGGTCGAGCGTCCAGGCAGCTACTCCGGCTCCAGTGCCTCCTCGGGCTGCTGTGGAAGCACATGTGTGGGGGAGCTGGGGCCGGGGGCCCCCCAACTTTCCACGCAGGGACCACCTTTCACAAGAGTACTTCCTCCTCCCCCACGGGGGCTGGCTCGGGGCCCCGGAGGCTGTCTTCGCTGCCTTGCTTCCTGCTCACCGAACAGAAAACCAGCGTTAAGGCCTGGAGAAACCATGGCAGGGCCCTGACCATCGCCCACTTCGGGACACCAACCGCCCAGGCGTGCTGCCTCGCACCACCTGCAAAGCGATCACGTCACCTGCCCTTGATCACTTAAATTTTTCCAAGAAGACCACGTCCTCCATAAATAGGGAAGCAATGCTTGCCCAAAACATAAAACTACAGCAGATGCAAGCAGGAGGTGGGCCCCTCTGTAGGGTATCCCCGAGGGTTGATAGTCTCACCACCCCCTCCCCAGGAGGCCAAAGCTCATGCAGGGCAGGAACTGTGAGTCCCTATGGTGAGCTCCTGGTGGGGCAGTGGCGGGGCCTACCCAATTTGGACTGGCACCTAGTGGCATTCTGGAAATGGCCACAACATTGGCCCTAGCTCCCTATATCCAGGCTCAAGGGAAGACCACCTGGGAGGGAAAAGATGGCCCCTCCCTTCTCAGAAGAGGGAGGAAGAGCCCTTCTGTCCCTGAAGAGCCCCCCACCTCACTGGAGCTGCTTGGTGTGGCTGCTGTGGGTTGAGTCTCAGGTCGTAGGAGGGGAAATCTCTAAGGAAGGGCCCAAGGACCTCAGCATCCTTAAGCTGAGCATGCCACTCAAAGCTACTGTCCAACATTCCCAGCGAAGACTTGTGTGCCCTTGGCCAGAAGGGAGCCTCTGTCCCTGCCTAGGGGCTGGGAAATCACGGTGCCTATGCATCCCTAGGAAAATCACATTTGCTGGCTTCTTGTCTCTGACAAAGAACAAGATGTAAAGTGCCCAGGGAGGACAGAGCTGTGACTAGCTGTCTGATGAGACCCTTGCTTTCTGCCCTCCGTGCCACCTGCTGGCACCAGCTGGGTCTCACTGCAGACAGCAGGCAGCCCGTGGTCCAGGACCCCCAGCTCTATAAGCTCCTAGAGCAAGACATCCTGCTCACAGCTGCCAGCAGGCAACTCCCAGGGTTTCTAGCACCAGAGGTGTGGAAATGAAGCAGCAGCAAAACACCAAGGGCTAATCTCAGTCTGTTGGTGTCTTGCAGTTATGAACTGAAACAGAAAGAAACAATAGAGCCAGGCTTGGTGACGCACGCCTATAATCCCAGTGGCTCAGGAGGCTGAGGCAGGAGGATCCAAAGTTCAAAGCCAGCCTCAGCAACTTAGCAAAGTCCTAAGCAACTTAGCAAGAGCCTGTCTCTAAATAAAATTTTAAAAGGGCTGGGGATATGGCTCAGTGGTTAAGTGCCTCTGACTTCAAACCCTGGTCCCCTCCATATCCCGCCTGCCTCCCCAAAAGGAAACAACAGACTTGCTCACAGAGGGGAAGCAGCCTTACTTTTGGCAGACCCTAAGAGGGAGACTAAGAAGAGAATGCCCAAGGAAAAGTCAGCCCATTAGGCTTCTACTATCACACTGTGAGGCTCAAACCAAAGGCCTGCCTAGTCACTGGGCTTCTGGGATATCTGGGAACAAGACAAGGTGTCGGGCAGCCTTCTGGGGCTGCTGAAGGTCGAACCTGATTGCTAATGCCAATGTGTTTTCCCTGCTTTTGTCTCAAAAGCACATCTCCAAAGCAGGGCCCCTCCTAGATTACTGCATAAGCACCTGGCTCATAAGTCAACTTCTCCTTATACACAACTGCATGCAGCATTGTTCACTTTTAACAACTAAAAAATAGAAATAATGTCCATCAATTGATGAATAGATAAACAAAATGTGCTCCATCCAAACAGTGGAATATTATTCAGTCATAAAAAGTAATGAAGCACTGATCCATGCTACACCAGGGAGGAACCTAAGAAACATGAGGTTAAGTGAAAGAAGCCAGACACAGCCAGGAATGGCAGTGTGACCTGTAACCCCAGCTACTCAGGAGGCTGAGGAAGGTGGATCCCAAGTCTGAGGCCAGCAACTTAGCAAGACCCTGTCTCAAAATAAAATTTAAAAAGCAGAGAATGGGGCTGGCTTTGTAGCTCAGTGATAGAGCACTTGCCTAGCATGTGTGAAGCACTGGGTTTGATTCTCAGCACCACATATAAATAAATAAAACAAAGGTTCATCAACAACTAAAAAAATATTTTTAAAAAATGGAAAAAAAAAAAGAGCCTGCGCACAGGCAGGCGGGTGTTACCTTGGGCTTAGACAGGGGCTCCCACTCCCTGGTTGTTTTTTTGCTGGAATTGCCAGAGGGAGGAAAAAGGGAAGTGAGAAGGGGCCACGGGGATACCACCCCCCGTCCCAGGGACAGCAGCTCAGTGGTGAAGAAGTGCTTGCCCAGCTTGTGTGAGGCCCTGGGTTCGTTACCCAATACCAAAAAAACAAAACAAAAAAACAGACTCAAAAGCATTTATAGAAAATGTCCAGAACAGGCAAATCCACAGAAAACTGCAAGTAGATTAGCAGTTGCTGAGAAATGAGGGAGTTGGATGTAGACAGCTCAAAGGTACAGGGTTTCTTCTTCTTGGGCTCATAAAAATTGATTGTGGTGATGGTTGCATAAGTGTCAATACATTCAAAGTCATTGAACTATATGTGTGTGTGTGTGTTCTGGGGATTGAACCCAGGGCCTTGCACATGCTGAGCAGGGATCCTACCGCTGAGCTGCACCCCCAGCCCCAATGAAGCTATTTTTAACTGCTTGGAGCTGCCAGTGGAGAATCAGGTAGCCACATCAAGCCTGTGGGAATGACACTGGGGTCTCCACTGTGCTGCAGGTACTTGGGGAACGAGCAGTGGTTCTGCCAATCAAAGCTTCCAGTCTTCTAGGGACAAGAATTCTCATTTGTCCTGGGAGGTGCTAGTAACATTGGCATGGAAGTGTGTTTGGAGGAGGGTCGGCCATCCCGGAGAGGAAAAGGCTGAGCTCCTACTCAGGCCACAGGATTCTTATGCCCCTTTGCAACAGGCAGAGGGGACTTATTTTCCAGATCTTAAGCCAGCAGACAAGTCACAGGGCGTAGCAGGCCTGACGTGTGCTCTAACCACTGCTCTCAGTAGCGGCAGCCCTGGGCCTGTGACAGAGCTTCAAGGCCATTGCCGTGCACTGAGTATGCAGGGACTGGGTCTAAAGACCAGGGTGAGTTCACGGGCATTCCGGGCGGAGCGCCATGCACCCGCAGCCCCAGCCCACATGCAGGACCCGCCATCGGGCCCAAGCCCCTCGAGGCCCCTAGTTTTATCCCCAGGTCTAGAGGCCCAAAATGAGGCTGAGCACAGCAGCCAGGCTGGAAGGAACATGGCCTGGAGAAGACGCCCCCGTGCTCTGCACCTGCCCCCCCCAGGCCCCTGCAGAGGCTGCGCACAGGCAGGCAGGCGTTACCTTGGGCTCAGACAGGGGCTCCCACTCCCTGGTTGTTTTTTTGCTGGAATTGCCAGAGGGAGGGAAAAGGGAAGTGAGAAGGGGCCACGGGGATACCACCCCCCGCCCCAGAGACAGCAGACCCCAACTCCTACTTCACATGGCCAGTGCCATGCAGGTGGGCAGACAGCTCTCTGCATTAAGACGTAGAGCCCCAGGGCAAGACCCAGTGCTCAACCATTACACAGCCTAAAACCCCACCCTCTGGGACTGTGCTTCAGGGCAGGGGTGCTGGTTATCAGGAGACCCCCAGTGAAAAGGCCAGACCTCAGTCTGGAGGAGCTCCCGACACAAGGCTGTGGGCTGGGCAACGGGAGGAGACCCAAGGCAGGGAGCACAGTGTGCAGGGCGGGTCTCCTGGCCTTTGATTTTGCTCCAGGGATGCCCTGGCCTACCCTCCAGCCCCCACCCTGAGAGGAAGGCGGTGGACACTCACAGGAGCAGGTTCCCAGGGGCAGACTGCGAGCGCTCCTCCCGCCGGCTGCCCTCAAATGGGTTCCCAAAGGAGCGTTTCCGAATCATGGTCTTCACCAGGATCTAAAGAGGGAGAGGAGGCAGCAGGTGACTGCTCGGTCACATGGGGAGATTTCAGGCAACAACCTTTTCCTTCCTTCTCCCAGACCCCCATCAGCTCCCTCAGCCTTTGTGGCAGCCCCCAACATACACCAGCCAGACCCATCCCCATGTCCCATGGGTCCACTCCCCGCTTCCTGGAGGCCAAGTTCAAATCCAGACTCCTTGGTCTAACATGCAAAGCCTGTCATTATCTAATCCCAGCCTACCTGACCCCACGGACCTCAAGCTCCAGGACAGCTGGCCTGCGTGTCCCTTGGGGCACACCTGGCACCATCTGTCTCACCTGAGCTATTGCTAGGTGGTCCTCCCAGCCCATCAACCTGTCTCATCTTCAAGCCCTTCTTTTCAGGGATAGCCAGCTGTGACTGCCCCAGTGACAAACCAACCATGTTTCCCCGGGACTGCTCTGGGGGTGGTGTGGGGGAGGGTGCTTTTTTAAAACCGAAATATATTGGGGCTGGGGATGTGGCTCAGGCGGTAGCGCGCTCGCCTGGCATGCATGCGGCCCGGGTTCGATCCTCAGCACCACATACCAACAAAGATGTTGTGTCCGCCAAGAACTAAAAAATAAACATTAAAAAAAATTCTCTCTCTCTCTCTAAAAAAAAAAACAAAAAAAAAACCGAAATATAATTCACATGCCTTAATTCACCATTTTAAAGCCCAGGAGCATCAGCTCAGAACGCACCCCACACCAGCTCCGGAATGCTGTGGATGCTCAAACCCCCTCACATAAAACAGCTCGGTGTTTGCACATCTACACACACCCTCTTGGTAGGCTTTAAACCATCTCTGGATGACTTACACCTAACAGAATGGAAATGCTACGTAAATACTGATCTCGCCATACTGCTCAGGAAAGGACGAGGGGAAAGTCTGGACTATGTTCAATATAGAAGCAACCACTATCTCTGAACATGTCTGATACATGTTTAAATTCACAGACGTGGAACTCGCAGCTATGGAGGGGCGAGTGTATACAATTCAGTGGCTTTTAGTATTTTCACATCACCATTATCTAATTTTGGAAAAGTTTAGATTACCTCAAAAAAACACAAGCCTGGGGTGTAGCTCAGAGGTGGAGCGATGCCTGGCAATGCAGGGAGAGAAGGAGGGAAGGCCAAACCCGGCAACAGCCACTCTGGGCCCCGACCCCCAGCCCTTTCGGTGTGGGTGCAGACCAGCTCTTCTGGACGTTCCTTGTGAAGGGAATCCCACAATCGCAGCCTCTTGCGTCTGCCTTTCACGGGGCTTGCCCGTGTTGTAGCAGGCATCAGTCTCTTTCCTTTTCATGGCCCTATAATGTTCCCGGTGTGGATGGGCTGCACTTTGCTCACCCACCCGTCTGCTGGACATCTGGACAGTTTCTGCTTTGGGGCAGATGCGGACGGTGCCAGGGTGGACGATGGAGTTCATATTTGTGTGTGAATGTGTTTTTGTTTCTCTTAGACAGGCATCTGTAGAACTTCTGGATCCTGTAACTGTACTTAACATTTTGAGGAACTCCCTGAGTGTTTTCTACAAAGCCCGAACTACTCTACACTCCCCCGGTCGGGCACAGCAAGAGCGATTTCTCGGGAGCCTGCATTTTAGTTGAGGATGAGAAACACCCCAGGACAAGGAGACCACCAGTTCACAGGCTGGTGTGGCGTGAGGGCACAAGGGCACAGAGGCCCTGGAAGATCCCACTGAGCCTGGGAGTGGCTGAGCCCTGGCCCAGCCCCCTGCCTTGCCCACTCTAGCCAGGACTGGGTAGAGGCTGCCTAGAGGAAAGGCCCCTCCTGGTCCCTCAGCCCTGCTCAGCTTCTTTTCTCTGCTTCTACTGCCTTGTCTCCCCTCATCTGTCCCCAGCTTTCTTAAAGCCCAGCCGGATCCCCTCAGCCTCTGATTAAGAATCCCTCACCTATAGGAAGTTGGAACTTAGCCTGTAACCATCCAGGGAGCCCTGGAAAGTTCCTTACTAATCACCCTTGGATATTGTCAAAGGAAGCAGGGTCACTGAAAGGCCGGGCTCACGCTCTGGAGGATGGTGCCTCTTTAAGCAGGATTATGGATTGACTGAGCTTCTGATTTTTTTTTAAAGGGTTTGTTGCTAATAATAATATTTTAAAAACACTAATTTATCAAAAAGTGGCCAATGTCCATTAGTTGAAGAACAGGTAAACAAAATGTGGTCTACCTATACAATGGAGCATTACTCAGCCACCTGCTGCAGCAAGGATGAGCCCTGGAAAAGGCCACATACGCGTGTGACTCCATTGACATGGAACGTCCAGACAGGACACCTGTACAGAGACAGTAGATCATCAGTGGCTGGGGAGGAGGGCTAGGGAGGGAGTTCAGGAGTAAGAGGTTTCCCTGAGGTGATAAAAGCACTTCAGAACTATCAAGGTGACAAATGCACAACTCTGTGAACATCATAAATGCCACTGAATTGTTCACTTTGATATAGTTAATGGAACTTCTACCTCAATAGGAGGAAAAAAGGAAAAAAGAAAAAAAAAGGCAGCCGGTTTGAGAATGAAGGTCTCGACCCCAGCCAGGTTCCCACAGTCTAGCCAGGTGGGCCTAGACCTGCCCACCACCTCCTCTGCCAGCAGGGATTCAGACCCTTCCTACCCTTGGGGTCAAGATTTAATTCTTTGTTGCACTGTCTCTGCAGTGCCTTGCTCTGCTTCAGCAGCCCTAACTTTCTAGAAGCTTCTGGCTGGCTGAGCTCCATCCCTACAGGAGACAGTGCCTGCACTCTTCCCTCTTGCTGGACTGCCTGCCCCGCTACCCTCTCTTGGCCAGGTCAACACCCTGCCTCTAACTTGTTGCACTTCCACTACTTTCAGGAAGCTATCTCCAACCCACCACCTGGGCCAAGTGTCCCTGCTCCAGGAGCAGCCCCGTGGCCCCCATTACACTGTGCCTGTATCTGTTGGTAGTCTCTCCAGGATGGCAGGGGCCATATCAGTATTGTTCATCACCACGTCCCTGCCTGAGAAACCGCTCTTAATTTTTAAGAAGTGGTTCCTGAATGGCTAATGCCTACTCCAGACCCCCGGGATCAGGGCGACAGCCAGGAACAGAACCCACAGTAGGCAGAGAGTCCCACACCAGTTGCCTCCCAGGCCACAGGCACGAGATGGGGTGTGGTGCGTGGAAGGGTGGATGAGGGAGAGTGGGTGAGGATGAGGGAGAGTGGGTGCGAGTGAGTCTCTACGGTGAAGGTCATGCAGAGGAATAGGCGGGAGGAGACATGGATGAGTGTCCTGGGGCTCAGGATTTAGAGGGAGACAGGCAAAGTGGGAAGCAGAAGTGAGCAGTGCAAAGCTAGAAGAGGAAGAGCCAGCATCTGGACTCCCCAAGCGGGGAAGCCCCTCCAGGCTGGACGCTGGCTTTGCAGGTTCTCAGGTCTCTCCCAGAGCCCAGGGTCCCCTGGCCTGCTGGGGCTGGAGCCGGCCAAATGCACCAGGGCTTTCAAGGTGGCCACAGAGGGCAGCCAGCTAGGACTGTTGCCTGGACCCCAGATCCCTGGATTCTTCCTGGAGCCAGATGCCCTCAGGGGCGGAGGCTTGGCGACTGGGCAGTTCCCAGTCTCCAAGGTTAAGGCTGAAGAATTCACATTCTGCTTCCTTCTTCCTGTGTCGGGACCCCAAAGTCAAGGCCACAAAAGGGGCTCAGTTCTTCCCAAGCCAAATTGCACCCTCGAGAGTTGGGAAGAACTTTCTGAGGTATGCAGAGAGGAAGCCCATGTCCTGGCTGGGGAACAGCCCACCAGGCCAACGTCACGTGCTGAGCTGTCTGCTCTGGAAACTGAAGCTCCAGATAGATGGGAACCTCATCTTATGAGACCTCGGCTCCAACCCTCATCCCTGGCCCCTGCCCAGTCCTGCTCCCCCTCCTGGCTCCTCTCCCCTGCCATGCTCTGAAAGCAAAAACTCAGGAGGGGCGGTGTGGTCTTGCAGAGGGGCTGCCTCACTCTGGAAACATGGGCCACGGGGCCTCACAGGAGACCGAGGCCAAGGTTGGCAGCTGTGGGCCAGGGGCAGCTCCCGGCTGCTTCCTGACTCTCGGGCTCCACATCTGCTTCCCAGGCCTCTGCTGTGTCCTGGCCCTGTCCTCGCCGCTGGCGCGCCTCAGGCTGTCTTGGGCCCTGCTCGTGGTTGGTGGTTCATCTGCCTTACCACGGTCGCCAGGCTGGGAATGTGTTTGACAGAATTCTCCACCTCCTCTTCGGTCACCTCGACCAGTGTGCAGTTCTCATCCTCCGATGGCAACGGCTCGGCCCCGTGTCTCGTGACCCAGGGGTGCAGCTTCAACGAATGACAGGATGGGTGAGGGGCAGGTGCAGCCACCTCCCAGAAGGTCCTGCCAGCGAGCGGAGCCAAGAAGGGCATGCAGGAGGGAGCAGCCGGGGCCTGCGGCCAGGCATGCAGGAGAGCTGGTGGGCAGGCCGAGGGCGGGAGTGAGATGGAAGGAAACAGGCAAAAGCCAAGACAAGAATGGGAGGGGCCACAGGGCTGAGAAGCGTTTAGACCCCGCTCTCCATCTGGTCCCAGATCTTGTGTGGCATGGAGGTGACTAGCGCCCATCACTCTGACTTGACACCTAGAAGCTCTGCTCGGAGCAGGCGCCATCCTCCGCACTGCACAGAAGGGAAAATGGTGGCCTGGGGAGGCAGTGAGACTAGCTGGAAGGACATGATCAGGAGGACCCAGGCCAGAGTTGTCCCCGGCCCCACTCCTCAGGTCCAAGTCCTTCTATGTGACCTTTTGAACTGCCCTCTCTTAAGACACCTTTCAGTGCTAGCCGCCCAGGTGCCTAGGAGACCTCAAAGCACATCTCAGGATTCCTAAAGGGCCAGATATGTGCTCGTGGCATTGACAGGCGGGTAGCAGATGGACACAGGTTTCTCTAAAAAGCTTTTTCTGCAACAGGGTAGAATCTGGCAGGTTGAGGAAGTGGAAGTGCTGACAGATTCCCTCCCACTCTCACTACAGTTCCTCAAAGGGACTGGCCCACATCTCTACATTCAAGGTCAAGGAAAGGAACAGAGTTTTAGCAGCCAGTGTATGGAGCATATAAAGTCCCTAGATCAGTCTGCACAGGGTAGACGCCCCATCAGCCCGAGCCAGTTGGAGCAAGAGCAAGGCTGCCTGGTTGATTGGTCACAGAACCCACAACACAGTCACAGTGAACACAACCCCCAGAACCTCCTCACTACCCCTTGCCAGCCCCAGCAACCCAGAGGCCCAGGGCATGGGAGGGCTGCGGTATGGAGGAGGGTGTTGTGCTGTGGACAAACGGGCACAGGGCTTGGCCAAGGCAGGGTGGAGCCAAACAATTCCAAGCACAGGACGCAGGCTGAACCCAGGGTGTCAGCCTCGGGGGCCAGCAGTGGCTTCCAGGTACCTTGATTTCCGGCACCACAATCCTTGACTCCGGGTTCTTATCCAACATACGGGTGATCAGGTCCTTCAGGTCCTCAGCTATGTCAGGCCTGGGGGAGGGAGACATGTCAGGGGTGGGATATAAAATGCACAGGACCGCAAGAAGACTCGAGGAGAGGAAGGATGGACAGGCAACACTCACTGGTCTGGGAACTCCAGGGCCTGACTCTTGATCTTACTGTGTAAACACATGATCCGCTCATCCATGAACGGGCACTGTGAAAAGAGGCCGGGGAGAGAGTAGTGGTGACCAGCTGCCACCTGTGTCCTTCAGAGGCTACCTGTGATGTGTCATTCCCTGTGAGTTACAGGACAGAAGTCAACAGCCATGGCCCAGTCTGGGGAAGGAGCGTTCCCATCTGCCCAGGGATGTCCTAGGAGGGACAAAAGCAAACACTCTGCTCCCCCCCAACGCCCACCCCCAACAGTAACCCAGGCTCTATAGGAGGCCTTGTGACCAACACTTAATCCACTGTCCCCCCTACCCAGTGTGATCTTCCCAGGGAAACTTGCATGGCTTATTCTCTCTAATGCAAGTGACCAATAAGCTCACCTTCCCTGTCCACCCCCACCCCTGCCAACCACTCCTTGTCAGTTCCAGGAGGGCAGGGATTTGCATCTGTATTGCTCACTGTAGATCCCCCATGTCCAGGACATTCCTGACTGGAAGCAGGGCCTCAGGTCATAAATACTGGATTATCTCTGTCCATCCCCTCAGAAGCCATAAGGAATAATAAGTGCTGGGATATAACTCAGTGGGAGAGCGCATGCTCAGCATGTGTTCAAGCCCCAGGACCCAAAAAGGAAAAAAAAAAAAACACAATAAGTATTCTTTTTACTGAGGAGAAAAACATTAGTTTAGAGAGGACACGTGCCAGCTCAGAGTGGGCTTTTCACCTCAATGGGACTTTGCACCACCTCCCAAGTGACAAATCAACTCTCACCAGGTGGAGGGCCTGATCCCATAGAAGCTGGTTGTCTATGCTGGTAAAAAAGAACTCTGGGGCTGGGGATATAGCTCAGTTGGTAGAGCGCTTGCCTAGCATGCCCAGGGCTCTGGGTTCAATCCATAGCACAGCACACTGGGAAAAGGTAACAAAGTCACCTACTCCACTCCTGTCCAAGGAAAATGATCTCTTTAAGAGCAATGTGTGGGCAGCAGCATCTGCTGGGCAGAACTCATTAGGAACATAGCACATTTCATTGTATGTAAGTTGTACCTCCAAGGGGGGGTGGGGGAAGACCACAGGTAAATATGGAGTTCTAGCCAATGACTGCCTTCTAAAGCACTTGGAAGAACAGTAGAGGTGCTGGCTGGTCATCTTGCAAGGCACTAAAAAATAAGATGGGTGGGGGAATGGAGAGCCACGTGATAAAGTAGGTATAGTGAGATAGTCACTGTAGACTCACTCCAGTGGTGGTGGTGGGGGGTCCTGGGTGTTTATGCAAAATTTTTTCAATTTTGTCATGTGACTGAAAATTTTCCAATCAAATGCTGGGGGGGGGGGATAGCTACAGACTCCCTTCCGCCTACACGGGATCAGATTCTTAAGCTTTCCTCAACAGGAGCACAAGCTCATGGAAGGGAAAATTTCACATTTTTAATTGCTCACATAATCAAACTGAACTTCACAGTTAAAAAGAGAAGCCTCTAAACATCAATAATATTGAAACCACCACTGCAACAAGAGTCACAATGACAAAAAGGCAGATTAGCACTCCCTTTGTCAAAAAAAAGTCAAAGGGACTTTTAATTCCCATTCCAATTCTGTCCCTGACAATAGAGTCTCAGCACACGCTGAGGAAAAGAAGCTCAAAGCAATATGAGGCAAAGGAGAAATAAGTGCAGCTATTGATTAGTGATGTCTGTCTGGGGCCCAGGAGTGGGAGAGGTGGTGTGTTTGTTGAGCTTGCCCTAAACTTAGCAATACCTCCAAACTCCAGAGTCTCTGCCAGCCCTTCTGTTCTATCAGACTCTTTTTCAGAAATCTGAGTGTCATATACAGATCTGTACCATGTCTAGGTGGGATTTCTTTTCCACATTCACGTCTGGCCACAGAGATAAAGAAATTTCAGATGAATAAGTGCTATCTCTCTGCAAGGATGACCATTAGTCCAAAAGGTCAGCCAGTAGCACTCAGGAGACAGGACACCCCACCCTCTTACCTGGCCAAAGACAAAGCAGTACAGCGTCACACCCATGGCCCAAACATCCAAGGCCTGCAAGGAAAAGAGAGCTTGGCAGGTGTGGCCAGGGGCAGGGAAGGGCATCTCCTGCTTTTGCCTGTCCAGCACCATTTAGAGAAGCACCTCTTCTCAGTCCACATAGCTGGGGAGGGTCAGGTCTTGGTCCCCCAACCTTTTTAGAGAGCACATGACCCAGGCATGGCCAAGGAGAGCACTATTCCCCCAATCATAGGATGGTCCAAGGACTGGCACATAACCCACCCTTGGCTGATCACAACCAGCCCCAGAGTTCTTGCTCTGCTCTTTAGAAAGAGGAATGCTCTTGCTACTGAGGTTGGTCAGCTGAAAGTAGCCTGGAGCTGCTGGTGCCTGATCCGCCTGCAGAGGAAACCAACTCAAAAAAGCAGCCAAAAGCTGGAGAAAGACAAATTCCTGTTTGCGTAACTGACTGGCAGAGCCCAAAGCCACACATGCCCACTCCTCAGCTGTACAACCCCAGTGCATTTGCTATTTAAGTTGTATTTGTATCATTTACAACCAAAAGGACCCTAACACAGGAAGATCTCAGCGGTTCAGACAGGTCCAAACCTACCTTCCCAGAGAAGATCTTGCGGGTCTCCGAGAGCGACTCAGGTGCCATGAAGGCAGGTGTGCCGACGGTGTTAGACAGGAGGGCATCACTGCCCTTGAACTCATTGCTCACACCAAAGTCAGCAATCTTGATGTGCCCATCTTCTCCAACCAGGAGGTTGGAAGGCTTGATGTCCCGGTGGATGATCTTCTGGTAGTGTACTGGGTGGGATGGCACCCAGGGAACAGAGGGACAAGAAACCCCTGTGAGGATCTGCATATGGCCACATGGCTCAGAGACACAGAGTGGCATCACCCTGGTGCCTCCTCTGCCATAGCCCCTGGTCTTTCCCAACCCTCCCCTCCCAAACCTGCTGGGCACCTCCATCCTCTAAAAGGTAAGGGGGAAAGTGTCTTCAAAAGATACTCATTCTCAAAAGGACTCGTTCCCAAAACAGTGACTGCCTACAGCCATTTGTAACCACCTGTTAGAATGTGTAACCCCCCTGTCTGTGTGGTTACCAGCACACACGGAGTTTTCATTGGGTTTGGTACCCTCCTAAGAGCCTCAGGACTCATGCCAGTCAAACACAGTTTCAATTACCAACGGCCAATACTAATTCACCGGAGCAACGATGACCAGAGCAGGCTGATTTGAAGTGTGAACCAAAAAAACAGAACTGAGGACTTGGCTCATCATTCCTGTCCGGTGTCAGCCAATGGCAATGGGCGGTGCTATGGTCTGGAAACCTAGGTGTAGTTTCTGGGGTGGTGATGATGATCATAGTATCAATGAGTACAGAGGGTGTCACTGTTGGGCACCCAGTCCTGGGCTTAGCTCTGTGCTAAGTGGTTCACATTTATCCCAATTAAACTTCAAAACAATCTTATGTGACAGGCAGGGATAAGAGTGGAAATGTTTAACAATCAGGAGCAGAAAGGACACCTGCCAATCAGAACCACTGATATAACCACTCAACCCTGCTGAGAAATACTTTGTCTCCATTTTACAGATGAGGAAACTAAGGTCCCAGGAGGTTAACAGGGTCCCCGTCCCAGGGTCCTTGGGAGGAATGAGAGATGACGAAGGTAATGCCCCAAATGGTGCCTGGTTCACACGGAATTCACTGGAGAAATGCTCATAACTACTATTGCTCTTCATTTTCTCTCTGTGGAAGGAAGAGCAGCTTCTGCTTGCCCCTGAGACTGCTCTCCGAAGCCAGCCCTGCTCTGCACTCACACAGTCTGTCTGCTGCCCACTGCCTTGCACACCAGGAGACCCTCCCATTCCCACCCTCCAGCTGGGAAGGCTGATCACCACCAGGCGTGAGGATCCTCCCAGGGGCCTCACTTACGGTACTCGATGCCTTTGATCAGATCCTGGAAGTAGAAACGGGCCTGGTCTTCAGACAGGGGTTTGAGGGTGGGCACATCCATCACGGGCCTGAAACGTCAACATGTATGACACACAGATCAGCCCTCGCCCTCTCCCCCCAGCAGAGCCCAGCACCACCTCCCTCAGCCTCGAAGGTCACAAAGCCAAGGGCATCACACCTGGGAGTGGGGACCATGCCTGGGAGCAGGGACACTCACCCTTGGTTGACAAGTTCAAACACTATAAGGAAGAAAAAGGGGTTAGGGTTAGGGGTTAGGGTCAGGGTCAAAGAAGAGAAAGGGGTCAACTGTTACACTGGAAAACTCCCTCGGGGTGCTCCCCATCTCCCATCCACCTCTAGAAACACCAAGAAGCACACAAACTGACACTGGGGGACCAGAGAGAGAGAGTCCACAGCACCCAAGCCACTTAATGTCCTGCTTTGCCGAGTTCCCACTGGGAGGCCAAGGAGATTTCTGTCGTCCCCAGGATCCCAGCCTGGCTTTTTACCTCTAGTGCTCAAAATGGCCAAGGATCCATTGGTGAAGGAAAACAAGGCAGGGGAGAAGGGGAGCAGGACGGGGGCTCCTAGGCTCCCTCCTGTCCCTCCACTTGTACCTTGGAGGTTCCAAGAGATAAGACTGACACTCAACTACATCCTCTGGTCACTCCCAGGGATTCAGGCACCATAAGCTTGAGTTAAGATAGACCTGCTGTTGGGGGCAGTGGTGCACACTATAATCCCAGCAGCTTGGGAAGCTGAGGCAGGAGGATCGTGAGTTCAAAGCCAGCCTCAGCAAAAGTGAGGCCCTAAGCAACTCAGTGAGACCCTGTCTCTAAATAAAATACAAAATAGGGCTGGGGATATGGCTCAGTGACTGAGTGCCCCTGAGTTCAATCCCCGGAATCCCCCACCCCCCACCCCCCAAAAAAGACACAGCTGCTGCTGCTTCAGGCTGTGGTGAGAAGCTCTGGCCTTTCCTGCCTCGGTTATTTATGTCTTAATTTGCAAGTTTCATGATTTCTGCACCTTCCTCCCACCCAGCCAGCACGGTAGTCAGCCGGCCTGGGGGAGGCTGGCCTGTTGGAACAGGTTTATTTTCAGTCACCGACAGTTCAGCTACTCTTGGGGTTGAGTGGTGGGTGGGAATTTCCTCTAGAAATACAGGCCGCACAGTCTACCTTTTGAAGGTCAGACCTGTGGTTCAAGTCCCTTCTTGAAACCTATCATCTGGCCCGTCTCCTCAGCACACATGGCCGTGGCTGGAAAGTAAAAGTAACCGCGTGGGAATTTTCCCAACTGCTCGACAGCCTGAGCTAGCATGGCTTCTCTCCCTCTGTGGCCTCGGTGGTGGTGCTGCCGCCTCACACAGCCTGGGAAACTCCTCTGTGATGCTTGGGCCACACTCTGTACTGATTCCTCTTTCCAGTCTGCTCAAAATCCCACAATGGCACCCTCCCTGCTAAGAGCTCAGAGTCAAAGCCATTTTTTTTGTTGTTTTTTGTTACCAGGGGCACTTAGCCACTGAGCTACATCTAGCCCTTTTTTTATATTCTATTTAGAGACAGGGTCTCACTAAGTTGTTTAGGGCCTTGCTAAATTGCTGAAGCTAGCTTTGAACTCGCAATCCTCCCGTCCCAGCCTCCCGAGCTGCTGGGATTAGAGGTGTGCACCATCATTCTTACAATGGTGTAAAATGCCCTCTGACACCTGGTCCCCACTGTCCTGCCTAAATGTCCCCTCAGAAGGCATTTGAGTTCCCATCCCCCTGACCTGGAACTCCCAGCTCCCCTCACCCTGCTAAGCATTTGTTATTTTTTTATAGTGTTGTCACCTTTAAGGCCTACACGTAACACTTAGGTAAATGCCAAGGATAAGGAGTTTTGAGTTTGTTCCTGACAAATTTACTGAATGAACAAATGATCTCCTCAGAAACAGCCCAAAGCCACTTGGAGTTGGGTCTGAGAAAATTACACCAGGGGCACCATTCTAGGCACAAACGACTCTGTCCTATTTCCCTGACCTGCACTCGATCACTTACTAGGTGTACAACTTGGCCAAATACATATGCTATGTAAATGATTACATATTTAACTTTTTTTTAATTAACTTAATTTTCAATTTTTTGAGGTTGTTGTAAGTAATAACATTCATGAAATCATGAGTTTGGTGTATTGGTTATAGTTTTTCCTATAGAGTTTTAAATTAAATGCAAAAAAAAAAAAAAGTTTTTTAAATGTTTTCTATGTGGCACCCAAAATTATCTCATATGTTTTTTGTTTGTTTGGTCCTGGGGATTGAACCTAGGGTTGCTCTACCACTGAGCTACACACCCAGTTCCTTTTTATTTTTTGAGACAGGATCTTGTTAAGTCACCCAGGTAGGCCTTGAACTTGCAATTCTCCCTCCTCAGCCTCCCAAGTTAGCAAGCATTACAGGAGCGTACCACTGCACCCGGCGTCTAAATTGTTTCCAAAGGAAGTCTTTAAAAAGTTGTAAGATTCAAATTTGGGCCACATTAGATGCTCTCAAGGAACAGGGATAATTCCATTTGGTTCTGGGTCATGTATGAGAATGTCCTTACTATGGGATGCACATTGAAGTACGCAGGGACTGGAGTCCTGAGATGTCTGCTACTTTATTTTTGAATGGTTTGGCAAAATAAAGAGACAGAGATGGTTGGAAGACAGCAGGGTAGATAAAGTCAACTGCTGAACCTGGGGCTATGTAGACAGCAATTCACCAAACTACACTGCCTTCTCTGTAGGCTGAGCTACACCACCTTCTCTTAGGCCGAGCATTCTCATAATAAAAACCTGGGGAGGGCAAATGAGGAAAGAAAAAAATGTCCTAGGCAAGAACAGCATCCTTGGAACTGAAGGGCTGCTGCCTTAGGGGAAGTCATACCCTGAGCTCTGTCTTCAAACCAGACTCATTACTTTATGAGCACACCCTGTGTAGCCCAGGGTCACTGTGTGGCCATCCAGGTGGCAGACCTGCCACCTCCACTGCCCTCACCTCCTCAGCCACTCCCCAGGCTGTCCTCTCTGTGCACTCAGAATGCACAGGCTCATCTGGACCTACCCCAGCCAGGCGTTCCTGGATACAAGGCCTGTCAGTCCGTGCCCCTGGGCCCGACAATCTGCTGACAGGTCTTGGTGGGTCCTGTCCTTCCTCCCTCATCAGCATTTAGGAGAGCTGACAGGGCTGGCTCATGTCCTGGTTTTTTTTTTTTTTTTTTTCTTTAATGGGGTCTCTGAGGACACACCTGAGTCCTTTTATTTCTATGTCCAGTGCTCAAAACCTTTGGTGCCCCTGGCTAAGGCCCCAGGTGTCCCACCCTGGCCTCTCCCTGCTCTACTCAGACTCAGCCATGTTTTCCTTGAACAATATTAATCTCCTATAGCCTCAGGGCCTTCCCATGGCTGGTCCCTCAGTCTGGAATGCTATTCTCCAAAGGTTACAGGGCTGTGTCCTTGACACTCAAATGCTGAGTGGTCATCTCCTACCTGAGGTGGCCTGCCCACCACTCTCTCTACAATGTCTTCCCTGACTACGACAGCTTCACTTTGAACTCGGGGTATGGCCTTCTGTAGGGCTCACTGCGGGGCCCAGCTGGACCAGGAAAGGAGAAGCTGCCTTTGGTCAGATGTGACTGGGCCATGGCTGGGCCCTGGCTGCCTTGAAAGGACGCCTGAACACTGGCAGGTGCGGTTGCCCGAGTGAGAGCAGCAGAAGAAGAGGGGTCTCTTACCCATGTACAGATGGTCCTCATTGGGGTCATCCAGGACCTATTGGCACAGCCATCAGGAACAGGCCAGGACACGAAGTAGAGGAGAGGACAGAGAGAATCGACATGAGCAGGGGGGAGGCGTGGGAGGGTCCCTCTTCCTAATCAAGATGGAAGGCCCAAGAGGACTCCTCAGAGCATGAGATCCAAAGAGTGGAAAGTAAGCACCCCCAGCCCAGTCCTCGAGGTTCCCAAGCACCCAGAAAGGAGGTGACCACAGGGAGAGGCAAAGCCTCCTTTGGCACATGTGGGTGAGAATTCCAGCCCATCTCCTAGGAGAGACACGGACTGGTCTTCAAGATAAAATTCAGAGCCCATCTGGCTCTAGTGGCACCTCCATGAGGTGGCCCTGTCCCTCCCTACCCAGCAGGAAATGACATTTCCCTGTCCAGAACTGCCTCTCACCAATGGACAGCACAGGGGTAACCACCTCCATTATGTCAGTGGTGTCTGAGGCAGGGCTGGGCACACGGGAGATGCTCAGGGACACCTCGGGAATAAACAAGCCAACAGACCGGCAGAGTCTTGTTGGGCAGAAGACCAGATACCACAGGACACTAGGGAGAAGGGAGACTTTGCCAGGACTCAGGGCCACTTGCAAACCAACTGCCCCTGGAACTTCCTCTAAGATGGCCAATTCCAGCATCAGGGAGTCGAGAGCATGAAGCTTGGAAGCCATTATGGAGGGAGTGACCTGCAGCTGCCATTTCTCTCCTTGGACAGACTAGGCCTCCCACCTCTTCCCACATTCTCCAGCCACCCGAGAATCACCAACAGGCTTGGGAAAGGTGTGCACCCAGGCAGAGTTGGGCTGCCCATCAGGAGCCCTACGCCCCTCCCTGTGGGCAAGTCAGACCCAGGCCTTGCCCACCTAGGGTTTAGGGTCTGTAGGTCCCGGACAAGGTATGGCAGTGGCCTCCCACACATCAAAGGCAGGGATGTGCTCCCCAGGGGCCTCAACCTTGTAATCCTCCTGCCTCAGCCTCCCAAGTTGCTGTGATTACAGGCATGCACCAGAGCATATGGCAAGATTACTGCTGTTTTTAAATCAATCAATAAATAATTTTTAAATGTCTCAGTTTATATTCTTAGAAGTAATATAAATAAATACAACCTGCATAGGCCACAGTGATTTGGGCCTTTCAATCATCTTTAAGAGCATAAAGGAGTCTTGAGATTAAGATTGTAAGTACTACTGATTGCAGCAGGGGTTGGCAAACATCAGCCTGCAGGCCAAATGCAGCCTGAATCTGTTTTTGTAAATAAGGTTTTCTTGGAATTTATAGCATATGTGTTTCTGCTTCTGTACCACAACCACCCACAGGAGTGAGCGAAGGCAAACCTGAGTGGCCCTCGACCTCAACGTCTCCATCTGAAAAATGGGAATAAGGAGGGGTGACAGTGACACAAAGTAACAACAGTTAGGGAACCTGAAGCAAAAGACCACTTGGCTCTGCAGCGCCAGGTGGTATGACCTGGCTCTCCCTGGAAACCGGTGGCTTCGAAGCATCTGGGTATTCACAAAGCAAGGCAGGACCTCTATGCCTCCGTCCTCCACACCCCACCTCACCTCCACCAGCTTCACCACGTTGGGGTGGTCCAGCTTCTTCAGGATGGCAATTTCCTGGTACACCTGCTCAATGGGGCCCCGGGGCTGGATGCAACCTCCAGGGGCAGGACGGGTGCCTCGGGGTGGGGGGCGACCTGCAAGGAGACACAAAGGCCGCCTAGGTCAGGGCAGAGAGACTCCCCCCTGCAGAGGGCAGCTGTTGGGGGGGGCGCAAAGGTAGAAGAACTTAGCAGGGCAGGAGCAGCTGCTGCTCCCAGGGGCCCTGCAGTGAATGCTGGTGAAGACTCAGCGACAAAGCACCCATCATGCCACAGTGTGGAAAAGCTCACGGGAACAACACCTGCGTCACTTCAGTAAATATTCTTAAATGAAAGTGAACACAGAATGTCCGCAGGAGGCCTGGCACTGTCCTCAGGGGGAAGCTCTGGGGAGGGAGGGGACACCATACGTGGGCTCTGTCCTTCCTTGCCCCAGCAGTGCACCACAGGGTGAAGGCCCCGCCCACTGCACTCACGTGGAAAGCCAGCCTGTCGGATCAGCTTCTTCTTGGATAGCACCTTCATCGCCTGCAGAAGAAAAGGCCCCAGGTCCAGTTAAAGCAGCAAGGAGCAAACATGAGGAAAGGCTCCCTCCACCCCAGGCCTGGCGGACCTCCTGGCACCACGACAGCCTCGGGACAAGGCAGTGAGCTCCCCATCAACACAGGGGCCAAGCAGCCCTGGGTTCCAAGGAGGCTGGACCCAGAACACAGCTGGAAAACCTCAAGCCTTTGACTCTCTGCCCCTGAATCCAAATGTGAGTGGGCTACAGGGATGGTGAGGAGGGCTGAGGAAGGACGTCACTGGATGCTCTACACGGGGGAACTGAGGTGCCAAGGAGCACCCCCTGCCAAGGGCACATACTTGGCACCCGCTAGAGCCAGGTGTGAACCCACATTGGACCACCTCCACAGGGGCAATTTGCCCAGCTACTGCCCTTTTCTCAGTGCCACGGAGGAGGCAGAAGCTGCATTACTTCACCTTCCCATCTTGCCCTCTGTCCAACGGGCACCCTGCTTCCTCCCTGAGGTGCTACGAAGAAGATGAGCCCACAGATCTGTCCACCTTCCAGGAAAGTGAGTGCTGGAAAGAGGGCTTTGCTTTGGATAAGGAGGGGCCCAGGGAGGGGAGTGTGGGTACTCACATAGTACGTGTTGTCGTTCTCATTGTAGGCCAGCTTGACCACACCATAGGAGCCCTGGATAAAGGAGATGCCCGTGACACAGCTGCACAATGAGGACCCTGACATACAGGCTGCAAACCACTGCCTATTGGTCAAACATGCCCTGAAACTGTATTTTGGTGGATCTGCAGTTTCTACAAAGTTTGAATTTAGTTGACAATATTTGAAAAGATTTGATATTAAAAACCCACATTTCTGGCTTCTTTTGAAAAAAGCTGGGAGGTCTAACCACATGTAGATATCATTTCGCTAATGTTCACCATTGATTTCACTATTCCCTACTTTCATACCTAGCCTGCCTTGCTCAGGAGCCCTCATTTCCATAATTTAATGCTTTGCCACAATCCTCACTGCTCACTAGTATCTTCCATCTCACATCCACGCCCACTTATATCACTGACTTATTCTCTCCTGGCATTTGGGCTTTTGACCCTGTAAAAATACTGCTCTTTGGCTGAAACAAACAAACAAAAAAATACAGATGTGAGAATAACTTCAGGGGGGAAAAAATCTACTAATGGATGCATACGATCAGCACAGCAATATGGCATTGCTCTGGAAGCTTTCTGAGCTTTTGCAGAAACGTTTAATTTTAATATACAAAAATAGAAATACTAGACCATTAAAAAAATACACTAGACTGCCATCCATGGGCTGAGTGGGGGCTATGTTGCACACAGTAGCCTAATGAGACATCACAGGCAAGACTCCGCTCTTGAAACCTTATCCCTGCCTTTGCTGTACCCCCTTAAATAAATGACAGGAGCCATCTTTTCTCTGTTCAATTGGTTGCTCCTATTACTAGACGCCCCCATCAGCCTTGCCTCCAAAGACTCCTCTCCCCACTCCCAGCTCCAATAGGCTCCTTCCACAGTGTCTGAAAGTCCCTGGACAAGGTGGAAAGCCAGCCCAACTCCTGGGGTATTTACCTTTCCAATTTCATCCTTCAATGTATACTGATTCAGCTGCACACAGTCCTAGAAAGTAAGTAATTTAAAATTTGTAACAGATACATTTTCCACAAACTGAACCCCCCCACACACAAAACCAGGACCCAAATCAAGAAAATAAAAACTCCCAGCTCCTCAGAAACACCTCCCAGGCAGTGTCCCTTCTCCAGAATGACCTCTGTCCTGACACAGATCTTCCTCATTGCTGTGCTTTGTCCAACTGTGATCACACAGGGCTGGAGGGTGCAGCTCAGTGGGAGAGCACATGTTTATTCAGCAGGGCCCTGGGTTGGATCCCCAAACCACCCCCACAAAAAAAGGTGGGGGAGAAATCATATAATATGCAGTCTTTATATCTATTTTTATAAGATCGTTCACACTTTCAAAAAGTAAATTTTAAATTTAAAAAGTATTCATGTGTCAGGTGCAGTAGCACATGCCTGTAACCCCACTGACTCAGGAGGCTAAGGCAAGAGGATTGCAAATTTGAGGCCACCCTCAGCAACCTAAAAGAAATAATCATGCGAGCTGGGGTTGGGTTCAGTGGTAGAGTGCTCGCCTAGCATATGTGAAGGACTGGGTTAGATTCTCAGCACCACATATAAATTAATAAAATAAAGACCCAATGACAACTAAAAAATATTTTTTAAAATAAAGAAAGAAGTAATCATGCCTACATTGTCATGCAAAAATACAAAGGGGTAAAAAAATCTCTGCAAACTTGGAGGTAGATAAAGGTTTCTTAGATCATACACAAAAAGTACAAAACACAAAAGCAAACAAATGATACTTTTGACTTCACCAAAGTCAAAACTTTTGTACCTCAAGACACTATTTTAAAAGGTCTGGTGGTGTAGCTCAGTGAGAGAGCACTGAGCATGTGTGAGGCCCTGGTTTCTATCCCCAGAACTGGGGGGAAGGGGGGTTGGAGAAAAAGAAAAGCCAAGGCCCACACTGGCTGAGAGGATTCATCACACATACATTAGACAAGAAATGAAATCCAAAATAAAAGAACTCTGGGGGAAGGGAAAGAGAGAGAGAAGGGAAATTGCATGGTAAAGGAAGGAGACCCTCATTGTTATACAAAATTACATATAAGAGGAAGTGAGGGAAAAGGGGAAAAAAAAACAAGAGAAATGAATTTCAGTAGATGGGGTAGACAGAGAAGATGGGAGGAGAGGGGAGGGTGGGGAGGAGGGATAGTAGAGGATTGGAAGGGCAGCAGAACACAACAGACACTAATATGGCAGTATGTAAAAAAGTGGATGTGGAACTGATGTGAATCTGCAATATGTACACGGGGTAAAAATGGGAGTTCATAATCTACTTGAATCAAATGTATGAAATATGATATGTCAAAAGCTTTGTAATGTTTTGAACAACTAATAATAAAAAAAATAAAAGAAAATAAAAAAATAAAAGAACTCTGGATCCTGGACTGGGGACGCAGCTCAGTGGTAGAGTGCTTGCCTACAGTGACGAAGCCCTCTGTTCACTCTCAGCACAGGAAAACAAGCATACTAAACTCTATGACTCAATAATAGTAAGTCCAACAACCCAATTAAAAAATGGGCAAAAGTTTGAACAGAAATTTCCCCAAAGAAAAATAAAACAAGTGGTCAATAAGCACATGAAAAGACTATTAGTCATCAGGGCAATACACACAAAAGTCACAGGGAGAGGCTGGCAAAAATCAAAACTGAGAAGACCAAGGCTCAGCAAGAATGCAGAGCAGACAAAAGCCTTAGCATTTGGCGGTTTCTTAACACACACCTACCATATGACCCTGCCATGCTGCTCCTGGTCATTTACCCAGGGGAAATGAAAACATGCTTCATTGGTAATGCTCAAAAACTGGAAGTAACCCAAAGGTCCATCAACAGGTGAATGGACAAACTGTGCCTCATTCATATGATGGAAGGATTCTGCATAAAAAGGCACAGCTGATCCAGCTGTCCCTCGTACCCACAGGAGATTGATTCCAGGACCCCCTGCAGAAACTGAAATCTGCAGATGCAGAAGTACCCTGCATAAATGGCACAGCTTTTGCATGTAACCTCCCTCTTATGCTTTAAATCATCTCCAGGTTGCTTATATGTTTAATGCAATGTAAATGCTATGAAAGTAGCTGTCATGAGGTATTGCTCAGGAAATAATGACGAGTGGTGGGTGGTAACACACTGAGTGCAGATGTACTTTTTTCTTTACACATATCTTCCACCCCAGGTTGACTGAATCTGCAGCTATGGGGACCGTCACTATACAGAGCAACATGGATAAATTACAAAAAACTAAGCTAAAAAAAAGGGGTGCATACTAAATGATCCCACCTCTATAAAATTATAGAACTTGCAAATTAATCTCTAGTGATAAAAGAGAAGATCAGCAGCTTCCTGGGAAATGAGAAGTCAGGGAGGGACGGTTGCAGGGCATGTTAGAAAAGCCCAAATGACTGGTTGTGCTGATGGTTTCATAGGTGAAGTCATGTATCAAAACTAATTTTTTTGGGGGGGTACCAGGGATTAAACCCAGGGACATTTAACCTCTGAGCCACATCCCCAGACTATTTTTGTATTTTATTTTAGAGACAGGGTCTCACTAAGTTTCTTAGGGCCTCGCTAAATTGCTCAAGATCCTCCTGCCTCAGCTTCCTGAGCTGCTGGGATTACAGGCATGCACCACCTCACCTTGCTCAAAACTAATTTTTTTTTTGTTCATTTGAAATGTGCAGTTTTTTATTTTACCCTTCACTTCCCTCCCCCATGATTCTAAGCCTTTTCCCAAACCTTGATACAAGTTCCGCATCCAAATTTGCAGGCCTTTTTTTTGGTAAGATGCCCTATAGAAAACAGAGTATTGCCTCAGGGAGGAGCTGGGGCCATAAATAGTGGCATCGTACTACCCCATTTCTCAACTTCCCTTTCTCTCTCACTGAGAGGGTCCTGAGATGGTCCTGGTTTCTGGCCTGCAAGTCACCTCCAGGGTTCATGGAGCCCCTCCCGAGGGTGGAAGCTCAGGCTGCTTCCAGCTTCCTCTCCTGTGCTGCTTTCATTCCCCTGAGCCCTGGAGGGATGTGATGGGCAGTTCCAACAGTCCAGCCCTGGCTTCCTGCCACTTCACAGCTGCAGGCTGACTCCATGGCCTGGCCTTCAAGGGCCCCTAAAACTCTGACCTTGCACAAGGCACTTAGTTGTCCACCAAATACTAGTTTTCCCCTTTCTCCTTCTAATCAGACCTCTGAGAGGCAATGTCCCATCTGGCAAACTTCACTTTCGGCTTATTACAGCTTAGAGTGGCTGCGTGGCTATGTTCTGGCCAGCGGGAGACAGGCAGGAATTGGTGGATAGAATTTGCAGGAAAGAGGCAGCCACTTTCTGCCCTTCTCCCCAGCTCCCTCTTCCTGCCTGGAACACAACTGTGAAGGCAGAGGCCACCACCACAGAACCACCACACCAAGTCCCCAAATGCCTGGCACCAGATTTATTCTGCTTGATAAACAAGCCCAGTTGCCTTAAAGCCACTGTTCTGGGAAGGGGAGTGTGTGTAGCATGGCACCCCTCATTATGGACCTTATACTCCAGCTAACTAAACCCCTCACTCCCCCCACCATACCTTCCACCCCGCGGCCTTTGCTCAGGGTGCAGACTTCCCTACACTGACCTTTCTATGTACACATGTCCAATTATGGAAGGTCTACCTTGCCTTCAAAATGCAGTCCCTTATAGCCAGGTTGCTCCTTTAAAACCAGCCAATTAAGAGTTTTCTTCTAATTCAATTATTATTGTTAATATTTTATAGTAGGGGGGCTGGGGATGTGGCTCAAGTGGTAGCGTGCTCGCTTTGCATGCATAAGGCACTGGGTTTGATTCTCAGCACCACATAAAAATAAAGATATTGTGTCTACCTAAAATTAAAAAATAAATTTAAAAAAATATATATTTTATAGTAGGGATTGAACCCAGGAGTGTTCTACCACTGAGCTATATCCCAGCACTTGTTAACTATTTGAGACAGGGTCCCACTAAGTTGCCTGGACTGGCCTCCTGCCTGAGTCTCACAAGTCACTAGGATTACAAGCACTGTCACCATACCCAGCTTTCATTCGTTCTTTTTTTTTTTTTTTTTTTTTTGTGTGTGTGTGTGGTGCTGGGGATCAAACCCAAGGCCTTGTGCATGCGAGGCAAGCACTCTACCAACTGAGCTACATCCCCAGCCCCTCATTCCTTCTTAATATGCTATGTTCAAGTTCCTCCTATGCAACAGTGCCTGGGCCAGCTGCTGAGGACCCAGTGGTGTGGAGGCAGCTCTCGGGGAGCCGCGGCTCCAGCCTGGGGGAGACAGCCAGTAACAACCAGAGAAACACACAGGTCATGAGAGGCTGAGGAGCACATGAAGGAAAGAAGGCAGGGCCACAGGAGAGAGGGCTGGGCTGCTCTGGAGGGGACCCCAGTCCTAACAAGGTCGTTGGATGGAGCTGGCCTTGGTGAGCCAGCAGCAGAGGGCAGGAGAAGGGTGAGGGCAGATCACAGGCCCCAGGAACGCCATGGGATCTGAGTATGGATTCACCTCCCAGAAGCAATGGTAAAGACCCTAGGAGAAAAGGCGCTGCCTCAACCATGTGGCAGGGGATCGCCATTGGGCCACGGGGGCTCTCTCTAGGGACTGCCATCTCTCTGCACCTGCACACCTGCTAACCCCGAGCACCTGCATCCATCTTTCTTCTTTTCTGGTGCTGCGGCGGGGGCTGGAGCCAGGCAGGAGCATGCGCTCTAGTGCTGAGCCGCACCCCCCCAGCCCTTGCCTCTCTTGGCAGGAGACCCCCTGGCTCTGGAGATGCTCTGGTCACCCTCACACAGGTGGCCTCCCACCCCAGTGTTCCTCACAAGGATGGATGGCAGCCTGAGCTGAGCATTTGGGGCTCCCTCCCTCACCCTAGGCTGGGCATTGAGGCTGCTGGGCTGCGTGTGCTCAGGGCTCCCCAAAGCGTCAAGGCCGCTGCCCACGTGCCTTTGCGGACTTTCTTCCTTCCAAGGCAGACTCACTCCCCGCCACCCTGCCAGTTTCCTGGGGTTCCCTCCAGCTCCATGGTTGCACAGGATCCTCCTGGGATGCCCAGCTGACCCAGACACAGCGGTGGCAGCTCACGTACCTGCATCCCTGTGATGGAGACGTGGTGAGACTCCACAGTGGGCCGCCGGGGCAGCCGCGGCGAGGACTGCGGGGAGCTGACGGGCGAGTAGGGCAGGGACGGGTAGATGCAGCGGCCGTTCATGTCTAGGTTGCTGCTGGCCGCCGGCCCACCCTGGGACTGCTCCTGCAGGGACAGCTTGCGACCTGAGAGGTGGGGCAGAGCCTGGGGCCCCGAAGCATCAAGGGGGGCCTCTAGGCCATCGGCCTCCAGGGGACGGTCCCTGGCCAGGCCGAGGTCCACAGCACCGCCCGGCTCACAGTCGGTGACCACGATGAAGGACTCCATGCCCAAGTGGATGCTCAAGGACGAGAGGCCCTGCAGGGCCTCACAGGGCTTCTGGCCTTCGCTACTGCTGCCCCCGCCCCCCAGCTCATCCTGGGGGGCGGCCCGGTCGCTGCTGGGCTGGCTAGTGACACATGATGACATGGTGCGTGCAGCCACTTCATCCAAGGGGCCCGGGCTGTCCCATTCGGCAGCAACGCCACCTGCAGAGAAAGAGAGAGTCAAAAAGCAGGGCCTAGGGGCCCAGGCTGGGGCCTAACCTCTGCCTTGGATCCACATCCTAAAAAAACAAAATCCTGCAAAACATGATGTGATCTGACCTCTGCACTTCCTCTTGATAGGCCCTCCTCATGCACCTCATGAGGAAGGAGTCCAAATTCAATTCCTGCAGGAGCCAAGTAACCTCCAAGAGAGCACGGGCCCTGCAGAGCTGGCAGCTACTTCTGGCTCTACCCAATTGTTGTTTTCTAATTATTTCAAATATTTTTAAACACTGGGTAGGCCAAATGAAACACTTCCATCTAACTGCATCCTTCCCAAGGCAATGATCCAGACAGCACTTTACAGTTTACATGTATCAGTATGATGTCATAGCACCAGAGGTTGTGAGTCTGCTGTTATACCCCTGTGTTGAGGAACTGAGGCCCAAGAAAGGGAAAAATATTTGTCCAAGTACAAGCAGCTGTCTGGTCTGGCCTAGCCTCGGCGGATGATGCTCAACTGAGAAGTGGGGGTCAGGGTCTCATCGGAGAAAGGACAGTCACCAAGAGAATGGTGTGTGAGCCAGGGGAGTTGGAGGCTAAGGCAGGAGGATTGCAAATTCAAGGCCAGCCTCAGCAACTTAGCAAGATCCTGTCTCAAAAAAAAAAAAAAAAAAAAAATTAAAATGGCCCTGGGATGTAGCTCACTGGCAAAAAGCACCCCAATACCAAAAAAAAATTAAAAAAAAAAAAAGCCAGTGGTGAAAGACTTTGACTTGCATGATTTCATTGATATGAAATTTCTAGAACAGGCAGATCCATAGAGACAGAAAGATGAACGGTTGCCTAGGGCTGAGGAGAACCTGGGGAGGAATCAGGAGTGGCTGCTTAATGAATGGTGGGGTTTCCTTTTGGAGTGACAAATGTTTTGGATCTAAAAAGAGGCAGCAGCGGCATAATCTTATATAAGTGCTAAATGCCCCTGAAGTTTGCTTTAGCTCAGTTGCAGAAAGCTTGTGTAGCATGTACAAGGCTCTGGGTTCCACACACACACACACACACACACACACACACACACACACAGATTACTTCCATGTTATGTGAACTTTTATCTTGATTTTTTAAAAAAGAGAATGACACTCTCCCTTGGGCTGCCAGCTCCCTCCATCTCTGGAACAGAAATATTAACTTTTAGTTCATGTGTTTGACAAATTCTGCTGGACAAATGTCACAGGCGCCGCTGGCACTCAGTGAGTACATCCCAGCTGTGGCGGCCGTGCCATGCTCATCGTCCACACTGGCGGTGAGCACACACAGGAAAAAATGCAAGGGTGGCAGTGCACTGTCCTTGGGCCCTCGTGAAATAGTCCTTCCTCCTGAGCGGAGGCACGTGGCAGGGAAAGTCCAGCGAGAAAAGCAGTGAGGGAAACAGCCTCAACCCAGCACTGGCACACACAGCTCCTGGGGAAAGAACCTCAGTGAACCCAAGCGTGTGCCCAGAGGCTCAGCCTCCTTTACACTAAGTGGAAATTCAAACTTGCAGCGCAGTGGCTGGGTGAGCTGACAGAGCCACTCCTCTCCCTGTCAACACACCCAAGAACTGAAAGCAGGGATTCAAAGGTTCATAAGTCAATGTTCACAGCAGCGTGAGCGTGACCTACAATTGCCAAAAGGTAGAGAGAAGGCAGTAAGAGTCCATCGATGGATGAATGGATAAACAGAATGTGGTGGAACCACCCGAGGGCCATAAAAAGGAAAGAAACTCTGACTAATACTAAGAATCCTGAAGCCACCACCTCCACCAAACAAGCTGGTTACTAGGTGAGCGGTCTCACTTCCATGAGGCACCAGCAAGACTCTAGTTGGCAGAGGAAGCAAGCAGAACGCAGGTGACAGGCTGAGCAGGAAATGAGTGACTGCCTCAGGGGCACCAAGTTTCTTCTGGAGATGTTGGAAAGTTCTGAAACTAGATGGTGACGGCCACATGACACAGTGGATATAGTTAATGCCACCAAATTATAACACTAAAAGTGGTTAAGAGGGAAAATTTTATGTTCTATGTATTTTAGTAAAATTAAGAAGAAAACTAGCCGGGTATGGTGGCACACACCTGTAATCCCAGAGGCTTGGGAGGCTGAGACAGGAGGATCACAAGTTCAAAGCCAGCCTCAGCAAAAACAAGGCACTGAGCAACTCAGTGAGACCCTATCTATAAATAAAATGCAAAATAGGGCTGGGGATGTGGCTCAGTGGTTGGGTGCCCCGAGTTCAATCCTTGGTACCCTCCTCCTAAAAAAGAATAAAACTACAGTTAAAACACATTTCTTTCATCTATCAGATTGGCACGTCTGGCTCAGCTGCAGGGAAGTGGTCGCTTTCATCCAGGGCTGCCAGGGTGTGAACTGGTACCATCCCTATGGAGGGTAATACGTCAGTATTTAAAATTCCAAATGCACACACCTGGGACCTAGCAATCCTGCACCTGGGTATTCCCTCCATAGACAACCTTGCGCATGCAGAAATGATGTAAACACAACGTGATGTTGGCAGTGTGGTTTGAAATGACCACCCCCGGCAAACAAAATGAGGTACATCTATCCTGGGAGAAAAGCGTGCATTTTAAGACAGGTGGTTCTATGCATCTTGTGTGAATTAGTGCCAAGACACACTGTTACAGGGAAAAACCGAAGCACTAGTGGCTACTGCTGGCCCAGGAGGAAAGGTCCACACGCATGTCTAGGATGGTACATGCACTGTGGATTTCTGGAAAAATACACAAGAAGACAGTAACAGGGGTTCCAAGGAGAAATAACTGTTTTGAGGGCAGGGGTACAGTGGGAGGGAATGGCTTTTCACCATCCTTACTTTTGTGCCACATGCATACACTCAATATTAAAAAATGTATTTTTATTGTTATTTTTTGGTACCAGGGATTGAACCCAGGGGCACTTAGCCATTGAGCCACATCCTCAACCCTTGTTTTTGTATTTTATTTAGAGACAGGGTCTCACTGAGTTGCTTAGGACCTCGAGAAGTTGAGGTTGGCTTTCAACTTGCGATCCTCTTGCCTCAGCCTCCTGAGCCACTGGGATTACAGACATGCACCACCATGCCCAGCTCAAAAAACAAAACCAAAAATTTTTGGGGGGGATGCTGGGGATTGAATCCATGGCCTTGTGCATGTGGGGCAAGCACTCTACCAACTGAGCTATGTCCCCAGCCCTCAAAATTGTATTTTTAAAAGAAATCATCTCCACAGCCCCCACTGTTATGGCTCTGCATATCCTTTTTATGATCCATCCATCCAGAAGAGGAAAGCAGGGCCCTGGAGTCACACAGCTTGGGATCCTCCTTCTCCTGGCTCACCTTAGCCTCCGGCAACCTCAGTTGTCTTATCTCCAAAATGGGCACCCACCACTGGTCAGAAGCTTCACACAAGCCAGACACTTTGAACCGCTCCTGGCATAGGGTCAGATGCTCGAAAGCTGTTCTTTCAGCTGTACCTGCTGAGCGCCTACTACCCGCTGGGCTGTGGTCGCATGTTCCTGTGATGTACTAAGGACCTGGAGAACCCCCTGCTCCTGTGTGTGCTCCCCAACCCCGGCAGTGTGGTCCTTCCTCCCGGCGGGGCCGGTGCCTGTCTCCCCTTCCAGAGCGACCTCCGACAGGCCACCAGCATTCCTGAAAAGAAGACAGCCTGGCAGCGCCTGGGAAAGTCAATGGAGAATTTTTTTCCTTGCCAACAGAAAAACAATTGCTTATCGATCTCCACTCCAGACCAAGGACACAGAGCCACCCGCCCATATTCCTGGCAAGCCAGCGTCTGGCCTGGGCCTCCCTCGTGGCCTTTGACGTAGCCTCAGCCTTCAAGGGCTGGAGGAGGGAGAAGTGCCAGCTCACACCTGGGTCAGGGGCCATCGTGCTGCAGGGACAGGGGTGTCCAGGCCTCAGGACCCTGGCCTCAGGCACTCACAGGAGACATGTCCAGATGAGACAGCTCCAGCCCCACAGGGTCTATGCCAGTGTTAATGGCTTGGGGGTCACAGATCCTATGAGGATCTGATAAAAGCAGGCATGGTGGCCCACACCTGAAATTCCAGCTGCTTAGGAGGAGGGCAGGAGGAGTGCGAGTTCAAAGTCAGCCTCAGCAATTTAGCAAGGCCCTAAGCAACTCAGTGAGACCCTGCCTCTAAATAAAATATAAAAAAGGGCTGGAGATGTGGCTCAGTGGTTGAGTGCCCGGAGTTCAATCCCTGGTACAAAAAAAGAAAGAAAGAATCTGACAAAAGCTATCAACACTTTCCTCAGCAGAAAAATGTCATACAAAATGACAATAGTGGGCTGGGGCTGGGGCTCCGTGGAGGGCTCACCTAACATGTGTGAGGCACTGGGTTAAATTCTCAGCTCCACATATAAATAAATGAATAAAATAAAATCCATCAACATCTAAAAAAATATGGAGATGCCTGTCAAAACATACTTATTACAAAAATGTCAGGACTGAATGTCAATAAAATAAAAGAACTGGGAATTCTTAAAAAAAAAAAAAAAGACAATAGCATGAAAACGCAACACTGACATCACGCTGCTGAGCACACACGGGATCAGGCACAGGGCTGACTGCTCTGTCTGGTCAGGTAACGCTCAGAGGACGGCCCTCGGCAAGGGACCAACAGCAAACAGAGTGTTTGATTTCAGGGGGTCCAGGGTTAAGAAGTCCATTCTGCACAACTGTGTGGATGTGACAAAATGCTGAGTCCTCACTGCTGTGCCTCCTGTCCCTCCCTGGTCCTTCCCCCTGGAAATCTAAACGAGCCCAGCTCGGAAGGCCTCCCCATGACACTCAGTGTGAGCCGCCAGACCCTTGCTACAGCAGATGGACCGGACCCCAGCCAGGACGAGAATGTTCCTTCCTCTGCCAGGAAGCCAAGTGGCACAGGCCTCCAGGAAATGCTTTCCCATCTCCTGGGGGCTGCTCCCACCCTGTGCCTGCTACCCTCCAACTGCAGAGCTCCCGGAGCTG